GTAACTACTATACTTATCTATAAGGTATAAAACCTAACGGTTCCCTTTTATTAATAAGGGAAGAATACTAACGAGATCAAGGTAAATTTCATTGCTAATACTTATAAGTAGAAGTAGTTAGTCTTGACTAATCCGTTTAGTAGATTTGCTAAAATAGCAAGACTTATAGAAAAAGGCGTTAATTTCCGACGTTGTAAACCGAATGCTAATACGGCGGCAAGCCTTTATAATACGTAATAGGTAGGCGTAAACTAGCCGGCGGTATATTAGTTTAAGAGACGGTTGCTAGGTAGCTTGCAAGGCGGCGAGGCTGATAGCAATATCTCGAGGCATGTAATTCTTAGTATTATAAGTCTTGACGACGTAGATATTAGAAACTTAATAAACTTTAGTAAGGGAAGTATGCTATGTTACGTATATAAGGCTTAAGGTCTGCTAATTATATTCTACGTAATTACGACAAAGTTTTCTAAGGCTTAGTAAGTTAGCTAGGCTAGAAGGGTTATACTTAACGTTATAAAGTATCTAATCGTAAATAACGTCAGGGTTAGTAGGGTCTTAGGTTTAGAAGAAGACGGTGCCTATGCTAAGTAACCAGACTAGAGCGCTAGAAGTAGAAGTAGAAGGTGTTAAATCGCTTTTTTTAACGTACTTAACGAAATATCGCAAGTTATTAAAAGTTAAAATAGTATAACTAGAATCGAGAACGATATCGTCTTAGGTAATAAGGTTATCGTAGGTAGTAGTAAAAACTGCTAGGCTAGCGATAGAGGCAAGGGTAGACTAGCCTAAGATAGTAGGTAACGCTTTGATAATAGTCTAGCAGGTACTATTAATAGAAGTAGGCTAATCCTAGCGGTAGCGATCGCTATATATATGCTTTCTTGCTTTTTTAATCAACTTATCCTAGTTAACGTAGTATAAAGGGATAAGATTAAGGTAGGCGACATAGTACTTCGTAGTCTCGTGATTATAGTTGCAATAGTCGTACTTCTTCTTTTCCTTAGTAATAGTAGAAGTAACGGTAGTAGTAACGGCTAGAAAGGCAAGACCCCTACTGCTAGCAGACTTGCCTCTAGGTATATTGCGAATAGTAGCATAACTATGCTTTTAATCTTTGTCTTAGGTAAGTATATAAATCGTATCGGCTACCTTATTCTACGTAGGATAGGTAGCGCCTTTCGAGGTAAAATGCTTATATATATTAGGAAGTCGGTCCTTAAAGAAATTAAGGAGAAAAACGGCAAGGAAGGAGTCTAGTAGACGACTATAAATAGTCTTAATACGCTTTCTAAGGTAGTAATAGCGATTAAGGGCATTATAAAGTATCTTATAATCGTTAGTAGTAGTCTTAGCAAACTCGTTAATAAGGGTAGCTATAGTATCTTGTAAGATTCTCGGAATATACTTCTCGAGCGCCTGCTATAATTCGTAAGGGTTTCTATCGTTAATCTAACCCGTAGTATAGAGCCTGTCGAGTACCGATTCGCTAGCGTTTATAAGGAGACTATATATAACGTTACGGTTCTTTCTCTATTCCTCTATAGCGATAAGGTTAGTAGGGCGAGGGACGTTAGTCTCGAGGAATATCTCGAAGTCGTATCCTTATAAGGTCGTTATAATAAGCATATGCTAGGTATTCTAGTTAGATTTACCTTTTAGGCGAGGGAGAGGCGTAAAGACGGTCTTAAAGTCGTTTTAAGACATCTTGAAGTGAAAAATAAGGGTATTATAATAGTGCGGGATAGACTTATAGTCGTACCTCGATTACAGGCGTTTCTCCGAGGCCGTAGCTTTAGAGGCGTATCTATACGTTAGATAGCTTACTTTCGCTATTACCTATATATACTATTAGAAAGGGAAGGTATTGAAGGGAAGGTATTGATAAGTAAATAGTATTAAAGAAGTATGAATGTTGTATAGGAGGGAGAATCTTACGTAAGAATGCGAGAAATAGGTAGAATTGTAAGATCCGACCGTAGAAATACGGTAAATCGAAGGGAAGAATGAATACTCGTAGAAGATATGAGAAACTGATAGGCTGGTTTGAAAAACCGAAGCTGAAATGGTTGAATTCTCGTGAAAACGAGGAATCGAAGTAAAAGTTGTAGTTGTAGTGTGGTTGTGACTGAAAAGTCTGTTGTTATGGTAGAATTCCGTGGTGTTCGTGAAAACCAGTGGGTTGTGGTGGTCGGTCGCGTGCTACGTGATATTCGTGCGCGCTAGGTAGCTAATATCGCGTTAGAAAGTGAAATTCGTTAGCGAAGAAGAAAGAAAGCGAGAAAATCGTATAGAAGGGTAAATAAAGCGAATAAAATCGCAAAAATTCGTGAATTAATAGAAAATTGACAGACGAGTAGAATAATAGGTAAAACGACGTTATTCCGAAAGAATAACGCTGGGCTTATAACCTGTGGGCGAAACTAGCATAGAACGCTCAGAATGGGAAAAGTGGTGTTGTTGGTTGGAAGAACTAACTAACTGGCTAGAGGGCTGTGGAGGCTGGCTAAGACCAGTGGTGGCGGCCGTCAGCCCACGTGACGGGCCGGCGAGGCCTGCCACCCACAGGTTATCATGTGGGCCCATGACGTTTGTAGTTCCGATTAGGCCGGCCAGTTGAGAAGCCGGTACACCCTCCCCGGGGGGGTTGCAAGCATGGCAGGCTAGACAAACGTGGAGAGAGCAACCCTGGCCCAACCTCAGGGCCCAATCGCATCTTCACTAGCCTGGGTTTAGAGATGGTTCCTGGCGTCCATGGGTTCGTGATGGCAGATAAGGGAGGCGGCGGAGATAGGGCAGATGAAGTGTTTTTCCTTCCCCGAGGTCTCGCCAGCAAATGGCAGGAACACTAGGACCGAGCCCCGGGCACACAAGAAGACTTTTCAAGGCCCTAGATCCCCTGATTCTGGACTTCATTGAAACAATTTTTGGCCGGGGTCAAGTCGGAAACAGCTTGGGAATAGACTTTAGTCATATGGGCCTCAAGCACGAGAGTATACGAGGGAGCGACGAGCTTCAGGATGGAACAGGTTGAATAAGCCACTGCAAGGGATCAGAGTGGCAATTTACATAGGCCAATAACTGAGTGCCTCGATTTGATTCAGCTATTCGGCTCATGGCATAGGTGCTTCTTAATGGTGCTGCATGTTACCAGAAGGGGAGGGGAAATGGCTCCCTCAGGGACACCATGTAGCAGTAGCTATGTCAAAGGCAGAGGCATACAGTTTGAAACTCCCCTTGACAATATATCCAATTTGAGTACCGCCAGCAATGACTAGGCCAAGTTCTCCATCAACAACACGAACTCACGTCGCCATGTGTCAACTTATGGCATCCGCCGACATGCAGTGTCTTTTTCATGCTTCTTCGACATTGCAACCAAGGCCACCCTGGTTTGTATCGTTCGTCAGATAACGTAACATCTCAACGCCACCATTCATGGGAAAGCTCAGATCCGATGTCTGATGGGGATCGAAACGTGACAGGTCAAGACTCGTGAAGGAGCCTTTTCGCGGGGGCCATGGACAGTACATGATTAAGGGCCATGATGATCCTTTCAAGGGAGTTTGAACGACTTGTTCTGGATTTCGAGGCTAAACGGTCGAAAAAGTTGACATGGGTCTATTCAGTTCAGCATGCTCCGACGCCTTCGGTTTGACCATCCCCTTGCACAGCAGTCAAAGCGCTTTGACGAACCCAAAACCCGTGCGCCCTGCCAAGCTTCAAACAACCCTCTTAGAAGTGCTGCCAATAGAGATGAAGAATTGTAAAGGCGTCGCGGCTTTGAAAACGACTCGTCAATCTTACTCACCAGGCACAGATGTTTTTCGATCTCCGCTCAGGAAGACATGTCTCTTCCACGTTAAGTCTTGGTACAACCAACACACCACCATTACCACTACAATATTGACAACCACTACGACAGCACCCAAGTGAGGGATACAAGCTGGCAATGTCGATTTGCTCCTGGAACCTGTTTTCTGCGGATGTAGACTGTCCTTGACAGGGCCAACATGCCTAGCACACAGCCGACCCTCCTTGCAATGCAGAACCCATGATTGCAGCTTTTACGCATGATGTTGTAGATCACAAATGCAGCTCTGACACTTTCGACATAGATGGCTAGAGCTACTCTGGCAGCTCTCTGTTGGTAGCTGCATCCCCCCCTTCTCTGTTAGCGGCAATTGATCTCGGCCATCGACCAACAAACCTGTCCGCTCGTTATGTACACGCTAGCCAGATGTTGAGCCTCCTCTGGGATGCTCAAGTACACTAACACGCAATGTCAACATCGATAGGGGGCTAGATCATTGCTGTCTTGATTCTCGCGATTACCATGAGAAAACAGATGGTTCTATCACAGACTATGACTTACGCAAAGAAGCAAGGCGTCAAAGTCTGCTTTTGCTACCCGGCTGCCCTCACACAGACATGCGACTGGCCAAGGTGCCGCCGAGTCCATGAAGTAGTATCCGTTATTTCCCTTCCAGCACCGCCCCGCCATGGGATGTCCAGTGGCCTGAGAGACAACACGATACGACACTACTGGTTCCTCATGAAAACCCCAGTTTAAGCCGTCAGTGCGGCCTTGAGAATGTCTCGCCAACGGCAACTTCTCCCACCCTCCCCCGCAACGACGGCAGGGTTGGTGTGCGACCAGTCGTCCAGAGTTGAAAGGATATATTATATTGGCCAGAGCGTGCATCACCATGTCAAGGACACAACCCTGGATATGCTTTCTCACTGCTTTCGTCCGTTGATTAGGCTCAGGCACCGTCACCAACGCTGAAAAACGCTATTTTGCCCTCTCGTTGATTTTGCCCATCTGCCTCATCCCGTCTTTCGTCCCTCTCTGCGTGCCTTCGGGCCATCCGCTGCCGCCGTAACGAGGAGAATAAGGAGACCTATAACCCCATCTTTCTATTGGGGTGCGTAAAGATTTCTCGAGGGGTCGTTAGCTTTCAATCTACTGCCCACACGATGTTGAAGACGTTGACGACATGAGGATTCCGCCACCAGAAGTTCTTCTCAGTTGGCCAACACCACGTTACGATAACCCCGAAACGAGAGGCCCAACCAACGAGATCATTTCCCTCATACTCGTGGCCATTGCTACAATCATCATTGCCATCCGGATATACACGCGACGATGCATAACTAACGGGTTCGGCTGGGACGATATCCTTATCGTCTTAGCCTTTATACCCGCCGTGGGGTTCGTGACAGTTGGAATGATATCCATGGACCGCTACGGCTGGGGACAACACATATGGGATGTGCCCATTGACAGGTTCACCGGGTCTCTTCAGATGGGACTGGCAAGTCAGATACTGTTCGCCCTAGCGACAAGCCTCACAAAGCTGTCGATGCTCGCTCTGATATACCGGATCGCGCATGAGGCTTCGCGGAATTTCTGTCTTTTAATTATTGGGTTGGAGATTTTAATTTCTATCAATTGTGCTGTCTTCACAATGGTTGCGATGCTTCAGTGCCAGTAAGTTGAGAAGCATACCTAATGTTCCTCGCTGTCTAACACATCATAGTCCCCTAGATCTCTACTGGACTCTCTCGATAGGGCCCCAAAACTGCATTAATGAAGCGGCCCATCTCCTGGCCGCAAGCATCATCAACACCGCCACTGACTTTTTCGTTGTCTTGCTGCCTCTAGCTTTAGTTCGCATTGTGTACAAGAACAAGCTTTCTTCAAGACAACTGCTCATCGTCAACCTACTCTTCGGTGCTGGCTTTTTAGCATCATTTGCTGGAGCGGCTCGGACGTACTTCACATGGATCATGACTACGGAGCCAGATATGACTTGGAATGCGTGGATGAATTGGCTCATGTCGTCCGTTGAGTTATTCCTTGGGATCATATGCACCAGCATACCCTCAACCAAGCCGTTCTTCAACCGATACCTACCTAGGCTGCTGACCTCAAAGTCACACAAGTCACAACGCTCAAGCGTACCTGTTCTCACCGACAAAGCAACCAAAGGATTGCAGATGGGCAGCAAGCTCTCTCTCGAATCAGATCCGGAGGATGCCGAGACGATCCCTATGGAACCGCCAACTACAGCAACCGCAATGTCGAACCGCTTCAGCGAAGGCACGTTGAACAAGCCCTTGCCGGCCGTTGTGAAGAAGTACTCGGTATATACCATCAAAATCCAATTAGACGAGGCCAGTCTGGGTCCTGCGGATAGACGACGAGGCCGCATATTGAACCAACCACCACCAGGAGTGGTCGGAAACCAAGCGGTACACAACTTTAGCCGTCCAACACTTCAGCATAATCGAAGGAATTCGGAACCTCATAGTCAACACCGTACCAGCACATATAGCACAGAGGATGCCCAATACTCTAGCCGTGTTGCGAGCTTGGCGGGCGAAAGCAGTCGTTACAGCCATATTTTGGACGACATCGACAGCGACTACCGTCAAAGCATCGACGACCTTGAAGCAGGCATCCACTACAGCTCATACTATCACCCGAGCTACATTTCGGCTACGAGGAACCTCACCGGCAGTACAAAAGGTCATACCAGGAACCCGTCCGTCGGCACGTTTGGAGGTTAATTTGGCGGCAAGGCTCCGTTTCTTTTGAGTGTGGGTGGGAGAGGAAGTGGTATGGTTGTGCATGTGGCAGACGGGAGGATCCATTGTACATGGTTTGGGGCTTCCGGAGTTCCTTCTCTTGGCGTTATCTTCCGGGCAGGATAGGGCGGCTACACTTGAAGCTTATGATACACCCACCGCCGTGGCAAAAGGCGGCAGTTCCTGCATCATTTCCACCCTTGCCTTTTTTTGGACGTTTTATATAATTTTAGCTTTTCGGGAGCCAGACCCGAACTTTAGTCACGACGTCTACGACCAATAAATCAATCAGACTGTTGTTTCTCACGACTTTTCTCTTGTTTCAATTTGCTTTTGCGCTTCTGTCTTCTCCTCCATCTCCTTGATGGGAACTTCTCTTTGGGTGGAACTCTAAACATCCTAAACATCTCAAGCAATCTGAACACTCCAAAAAAACCTGGCCGTAATTCGGCCCAGTCCAGACGGTTTCCATTGTCTTTTCACCAAGTAAGAAAAACTCTTCATCTATTGGACCTATTTGTCCCGTCTTTTTGACCAACAGCAGAAAGGATGGCCTTTGATGCTGACGGCGGCCCCGACCTTTGCAAAAAGTCTATCGGAAGTTGAAACTATCTCTCATGCAACACTCTGACTTTCCCACGATTTGCTCCTATCAGGACAGCATTCACTAAAAAAGAAAGCTTCCCCCAGCACAATCCATTAGACAGATCCGGTTCCATGGGCCAATTTGAGCCGATGCCCCCCTTGGAATCGGAGCGACGGCCACAAGCCAAGCTTCACAACCTGCATACAAGTAACGCCACAACCGCGCTGGGTCATTAGATCCCGACCATGGGGTAAGGAAAGAAAGGCTGGCAGGTCTAGCGAAGTTGCCACTTACGAAGACAGACATTGAATTCAAAAACGGCCCGACGCCAAAAGCTTCACTGCCGCGTACCGCCGGCCAACATAACCAAGATCAGGGCCGCCTCGAGCGGTTTACGCTTCACTTTATCCCCGCGTAATTCTTACGTGTTGCATGCGCACGCGGCAATGGGACGCAGAAAGAAGCTTTTTTCTCATTACATCATTTACACGCATTGGATCAGAAAGAAGATAGGTCGATGGGAATGGAAAGTCAATCTCGGGACTACTGCAGGCACAGACAAACACACGGACCCGACATACGCTACCAGTACAGGACTTATCCAAAACGCTTCCTTGGTTTTTGCCCACCGACCGTCTTTGACAAGGAAAGACGGTGAGATAGAGTCGAAGCTACTGCAGGCACAAATGGATTCATCGCGATATGATGCCACAGGGGAAAAAACATCAGGGTTCCATCGAATATCGGCTGTTGCCCATCACAAATAACCCGAATGTGTCGGATACGCAAGATAAATGGCCCTTGCCCCAAATAAAGTTGAGATGTCGTCTTTAACGGCAACTCGTTATAGAATTTTACACGGAGGCATAAGCATCAGCTAATCGATTCGATCATCGCCTCTTGACACAATTGGCCCCCTCACTTGCTTGCTTTCCACTCCCCTCCCCATAGCGGCGGTGTCGAACGAGACGAATCACTCCGTGGCTCGGCCCATCTGTTCCCATCTTCGGGCCTGGTCCGCACATTATCAACGATATCTTGCTTTCGCAACCACCACGCTAGCAGTTATGGTCTTCTAGCACGGGTTTAGCTGATTGTGTCTTCATGTACCCTTTTAAGCCCGAAGTACACCAACGTTTCAACGCTGGCCGTCCATACCGTCCACATGGTCATCTCTTCGCTCTCTTGTCTGATCAGTGAGGAAGAAGCTCATGTCACCTCGGCTCTGTCCTTCACTCTCACAAGCCAAGACACCGTCATCTGAATTATCAGCCGCCTGAAAGGCTGGGCAGTAAAGAAAGGGGGAAACATCTGGGGCGGGAAAGCCGATTCCACGCAAATACAGATGCATTATCGGCTATTCGATCGAATCTAATAATGAGACTGTAATCACTTTCGTACGAAGGTGATAGTATTATGAATGTTAGAATACTTGCAGTGCTAGCGAAGGATAGTGCAAGCGCCCGATATACAGAGATCCACCATTAGAGCCTCAGATCTTCAGAGCATCCACCGGCGCGATGCACTTAGCAAAGCCCTGCCGTGAGCTATTCTGTCAAGCTCATAAAATCCAGGATGTATACCACCGCCAGCTGAAGAAACATTCCCAATTTCCCCCCCTGTTCCCTCATGACCCGTTCCATAACACGGCTCGAACCGTCATCGTTACTGGCAGCCATCTTGTACACGGTCAGGTGTGGCCGCGAGACGAGGCCACCTCCTACTTGAAACGAACCACTGGGAAAAAAAAAAAAAAAAAAAGAAAGAAAAGGCCGCATGGGAGTATCGCTTGCGGTTGCCGATTACATCCAAATAATATCCCTGCCACCCCCAAGTCAGGCAACGAGAGGGGGGAAAACCAAATTTAAAGTCATTTCTCGTAGGGCGTGGCGGGTGCGTTGGCAAGGCGCAAAACCGCAAAGAAAGGAGGGAGGGGTAGTGGTGGCGAGGCGGCAGAGAGTTGCTATCGCCGGCCGGCCGGCCTGGCGCGTACGCAAAGGGAAAAAAAAGAGTGAGATAGAGAGATCATGGGAGACGACAGAAGACCGGGGGGGGGGGGGGGGGGGAGAAAGCATAGATAGGAAAGAGTTTGTAAAAAGAAAGCCCCCGGATCGGGCGAACTTGGATGAAGGTCGCTGCATAACATCGTCCCAAGTCCTTCCCCACGACGAATAAACGACACTAAGAGACAGACGACGTTGTGACCTGGACCTGCAGTACTAACATGAAAACGAACACCAATTCTCCCCGGGTTAACTAACTCTCGTAGACTGCCGATAACCTTTTCATAGGTAGCTGACCAAGCGGGGTAAAATCAAGTATTGCAAGGTTTTGAGCACACTTTATTTTGTTCCATTGTTATGTCTCTCTATGTGCCTTCCATCCTGCAAATGAACATTTCTAGTCTCTCTGTACATGACATTCTTCTTGAATGTATGTTACCTTTCCTTCCCGAGCTCGACGCTGTTCCGTCGGATTGTGTCCTCGAAATCGAGGTTTTCTCCTGTCAAAGTACAATTTCTGTTGTGTCGAGCTGCGAGCTCTTACATGTTGTCCTCTAGTCTTCCCAAACGATCAAAATAGTAAAAAAGTAAAAAAGTTTTAAAAAAAAAGGTAAACAGAAGCTTCCACCCTTCCTCCTTACTCATCCGGCCACGGCTCGGCCTTTACCAGAGCATATACTTGCTCGCGAAGTCTCCTTTTGCGCTGTTCCATGGCTTCGATCCTGTGGCATATCCGTAGCCCGGTCGGCTTGTGTAAACACTGTCCATCCGGCTTTGTGGCTTGTCCGTGGGTAAAGAAGTATATCTCATGGTATTCAACACGAGTTCCTCGTGAGAGTACGATATCTCCGGTAGTAATCAGCGTGATCCTCACCCTGCGAGGATCGACGTGACGTTGTTGACGAGCTTCATGCACTTGCATGGGTGGCTGATGGTATCCAGTGTTGTAAAATTTACGTCTGTAAGCATCACTCTGGTTAGTTGAATGCATTTAAAGGTACATCATGGCGGGATTTTACGGACCAAAAATTGTATGTATTCATCCGGCCTGGACGAAGTTTCCGTTGAAGGGAGCCTGGGTGACATCCACTTGCTGCTGAGAGGGGCTCAGGCTGAGTCCGATCTTTCCCATGGCAGAGAGGTGGTTGTGAGCATCCTTGATAAGCTGAGCGTTCTTGCTGTCCTCAGGCTGGGTGAGGCCGCGGATTATGTCCTCGAGCGCCTGACGGTGGGAAATCCACTCCTCAATCAGGGGCTTGCAAGACTGCTCCTCCTTGGCAGCAGCCTCAACAACAGTGGCCTTGGCAGTAACCTTGCGCGAGGGGGGCGCGGGTCCGGCCTTGGGCGCGTCCTTTCGCTTGCGGCCCTTAGAGCTTTGCTGTCCGCTGGAGGCGTTGGTAGGGGATCCGGGAGCACCGTTGTCATTGTGGACACGACGCATGTGGTCCTTGAGGTTCCACTGGCGGGGGAATCCGTTGCCGGGCATGGCGCGGTCGCATCCGTCATAAGAGCACAAAAAGGGCTTGTCACCGTGACCATGCATAGCGTGGGCCTCGCGCTCATGGCGAAGAAGGCAGGCAGTAGAAGAAAAGCGAGCGTTCTCGCAAGACTCAATCTTGCAGCGGTAAGGCTTCAGATGAGAGTCCACGAACTTGCTGTAACGAAGAAAAGGCATACGTTAGTCATGCTGGGGGGAGAGGGAGAGAGGCGACGTTTTGTTCAAAAAGGTAAACTCACTCATAGTTGCACTTCAGCTTCTCGGGCTTGTGGTTGCAGCTGGAATCTCCCTCCCAGGGGCAGTGGAAGAGGCCATCGGCCTGAGGAGTGGCATTCTTGTACAAAGGGTGGTCTCGTGCAGAGTCACCCTCGTTGGTGTTCCTGCGGCTGGGGAAGGCAGGGGGCAGTGCGGCATCGCCGACAATGGTGAGGACGCTTCCAGACAGTTCATCGCCAACGAGTTCCGGGCCAAACTTGCCGTTGACACTGTAGAGTGATGCCGTGTCAGAGGCTAGCTCGAGGTTTGAGCAGCTGATCTGAGTAACATACCTGGGAGACTGGCTCTGAATAATGGGAGAGACATGCTCCGAGTGAGACGGAGAAGACATGAGGGGGGCAGACAGCCACACCTCCTCAGGGCTCTGAGCCGGGGAAGAGAGTTGTGATTCCGGTGGGCTGAACGAGTTCCAGGAGGCAGATGGGGAGTGAGCTCCAAGGCTCGAATCAGGGTCCAGTTGCATCTGGGCAGGCACGACGTGCATGGTCATGTCCGCCTGCTGGGATGGAAGGCCATCCGGAACAATCCCAAGTTCCATTGAGTTAAACCATTGGGACGAGACGGCACCCGCGTCCGATTCCAAGAAGTAGTTCACGTCCATCAACTGGCCGTTGGGCTGAGGTCCAGAGAACACAGAAGCATTACCTGTCATGTCCAGGGAGGACAGTTGTGTAGATACTTGAGACGACGCAGAAGTCATTCTGGGCCGAGACTTGGGAGATGTGATTTTGGTAATCCGGTGCTTGCGGCTTCCAGTGGAACTCCTTGAAGTTCCTCGCCGCATCGGCTCGCCACCGACGGGCGCCACGGTCGTGGCAGGTGCGGGAGCAGTCCACTTGCTCTGCAGATCCTCAACGGATTGTCCTTGTCCTCGGGGTGTGATGTGGCCTTCAACTTGGAAAGAAAAGTCCTCGGAGTCTCCCGGGTGGGCAGATCCGTTGTCTGAGAAGTCTTGAAAGTTCTGTGCACCTTCTCCTGTCGTTTCCCACGAACCACTCAAGGGGTCCGATGGTCCTGTTTGAGAAGAAAAGGAAAACATTCCTGAGGGCACCATTCCGGCGTGGAAGAAGCTGTAGTCGCTGAAGGGAAGGTTAGTGTGCTGTTTCTCCACTATCCATTTTATATATAATGCAAACAAGAAATAACAAAAGACATATCAGCATGGCACAACTTTGTTCCTGTAGCGCACCCATGTTAGCTGTCGTTGCATTGCATCACGGATTCGGGGTTTCGTGTTGACAGACCAAGCAAGCACAGATCATTCAGATCGTGCCAGAGTGTAGTAGACGGCCAGGGTCAGTGTGTCGGTCCAGGACAGTCCAGATCACGAGAGACAAATGAAATCCTTCAGGCCAGGTGCTATCAGGGTCGTATTCTGTATCCATAGTAGTTCTCCAGGTGCCTCCTAGCACAGGACCTTTGGTATGGTTTATATAACATGGCCCCTGTGTGGTGTCGGATAATGTCGAACATGGTATTCCTTTGACGAGAAATGGCAATGTTGTCAGGTGGCAGATGTGGTCGTCGTCCTTGGATTGAAGTGGACCATACAATTATGGCCGGAAGTGAACGTAAGAAAGTCGGTCGAATGGGATCCACGAGTTGCGGGTCAAAGTCCATCAGACATATTGAGCCGTAGTCCAGAACAGGCAAGGCAATCCTTAGGTTCAGAAACAGAATCGAAGCAAACGGAAATCCATGAAACAGAAGATACGGAACTAACACGTGCTGGAGCAACGTGTCAAGGTCCTGGGACTCCGGGCTAATAGATGACCAGCACGAGCTGCAATTAAGCTGTGACTGGTACACGGGAAAGCAAACACAAGTTGTGCTTGGTTGATAGGTCATCCAGGGGTAATCCGTATCCGTCCAAATGTGAGGCTAGGTAGCCCCGGTGCCTCGGATGAGACATGATCCAGTGAGATCCTGGCAGATTTAAGAAAAAGTCCACGGCTTCCTTGAGAGAAAAAAATAGTCCGGTAAAAAGTCCAGTCCTTGGAGGGAAAGCCAACGGCTCCGTATTGCTGTGATCTCATGTTGCTCTATAACGGGCGATACTCACCGTTGTCAAATGTGATATCAAGATTATTTTTTTTGATTGACCGTGTCGGTATGACGAGCGTCAGAAGGAGTGCTTCTGACGCAGCGGTCCCTGTCCATGGAAAGAAAGTATGTCCTGGGAAAGTCTCCGGGCAAGAATATCCTGGTAAATGTCCTGGGGCGTAGAGAGAAAGAGTCCTGGGCTGTAAATCCTGGGTCGATGTCCTGTGGTATCAAGGCCTCCGCGGCCGGCGAGAGATCTGAGAAGACGCAAAGAAAAAGCTCAACATGACTTTTGCGATACAGGATGATAAAAGCACAACGGACCACCCTGGGAACAGAGAAAGAAAAGACAATACCTAGAAGGAGTATGGACGTCGTCCAGGTCAAGATTGTAGCCAGGCATATCCGGGCGTGGAACAACAAGGGCAGTCATTGATTCCTTGGGCCGTGTATCATGCAATCCAGGGCAGTGTGAGTCAACTCGGCTGAGCTGTGTCGATGTACAGAGCAACAAGAGCAAAAAACCCGGGCGGGAAGCTGCTTGCAAAGTTCCTGTGGAATGGTGTCGAGTTGGTGTCGAGCGGGATGATCCTTGGGTGGCAAGATGGGGAAGATCTTTTTTGACCTTCTTAGTAGGGTTGATGTTGTGTAAGGGTTGGGAGGGATGTAGGCGGGTAGAAAAAGAGAAATCGGCAGAGGTTGGGTTGCCAGGAGGATCAGCTATGCAGAAGGCAGAATGCTTAGGCAGGAATGTATTTTGCGGGTTGGGCTGAAAGGAAGAGAAGAAAAGCGTCGTTGGGCAGGGAGAGAGGGGGTCAGCGGGTTTTAATGTTGCAGGACGAAGCGAAGCCTGGCAGCCAGACCAAATGAACCGAACGAACGAGATGATTTCTGCGAGGGGGTATGGTCGGCAGGGGAGGATTCGGGGTGGATTCCACGTCGTGCGTGCCCTGCTGGCATCAACAACCCCTGTCCCCGAAGCATTGGCGCCTTTCATTCTGCAGGGCGGATGTGCTTGACATGCCAGGCTAAGAGAATCACAATCATATACGTATGGGATACGTACATTTGTCCACCATTCATTTCGTCTTGAGCCAGTCTCATTCCGCCTCATTTCGCTGCCGCCGAGAGAAAGCTGTGTCCATTTTCTGGCCAAAGTGTGTGGGCTTTGGCAAGTCTCGAGGCAATCGTTGGACTCGACTGGCTGGTTGTGGGAGCAGAGAAAAGCGCTGTCTGGTGTCTGGGTCGTGTCGCCGGCCGTCACAGTGGTCGCAGGACTCGAGCTACATGGCGCTAGCCAACTGGCCTGGTTGTGACTGCACCTGTCATAGGCCCGTTCCGAAGTGAAGTTGGCGGTGACTGACCTTCTTCCTTGGTTTTGCTGATTTGGACATGGGCCAGGTGGACACAGAGGGTAGGCCCCCGCCTATCGCGGTGCGAGGAACAATCAGCCGTAACACAGGGAAGGGATTATGGCTGCAGCGACAACTCATCCGTGCAGCACTCTGAGAGTCCTAGGTGGGCTGAAGAGACCAACGGGCCAGGCCAAAGAATGCAGAGAGAAGAACGAGTTGGCTGATGATGGGTTAGTGCTTGTTTACCAGCAAGCTCTTCATCTTCTCATCATCCGCACCATGCGCAGACCTTGCTCGTCCCATCAAGCTCGTTCCGAATTCCCTATCCCCTTCATCTCTCCATACACTAATTGTCGTAAATGCCTCCCATTTCCAGTAGGGTCATTGAGAATCAGTCATGGCGCGATCTTGGACGTATAACTTTACCGCATTAATCAGAGTTGAGATGGTGGGATCGAAACTGTCCGCAAAGCGACGGGGAAGCGTGTCGACCAAAAAAAGACGCAGGAGGACGAGCCAATCCCGACAGCATTGCCCGTAGGTTGCGCTGAGGCAGGCGGCAACTGCGGAAGGCCGGACTACCAGGCCCGTCGTCTCTCACTCACAGAAATAGGCGGCCATCTAGACCTGCGGTTATCTGCTCCATTGGCGGCTGTTGTTGATGGGTTGCAGGTGCTGACACGCACCGGTCAGTGCCTCCGTCACAACTCTACCCCCATTCCAACAACATCACATTTTTAGCGTGTCCAACGCCTACTGGCTCAATGTGGTGTCGACTGGCCATACACACACATAGGCGCATCAACGCACCACACCACCTTACCCATTATTACCACCCACCACCACTGTTCCCGACCTCCAAGCCAGACGGACGCACTTCAGATGTGATTAACCGGCCACTGCCAGCTGGCCTGCTTCTGGCCTGCTGCTTGTCGGAAGCAGTCCATGCCAACCATTTACAGCCCCTTCTGATAAAAAGTGCATTGTGGTGCATGATATATATGCGCTGTGGGGCCAGGTGGTGACTTCACGACATCATCTGGCTTATGCTCAATGTATCATCGAGATGCTGTGACTGCTTACTGTGGTTTCGGTATGCTCTCTACGGAAGCCAGACGTTATGACACGAAGCTCTCCAAATTTCCCATCTGACCGGGCAAGTGTCCCGAGCTCCACATGGGTTGAAGTGATTAGACGCTGACGGTCTGACAATGGTGTTGTTGGTGGCCTTGGCTTTGAGGCCAGCAGGAGGTTGAGGCAAGACGGGGGCCAGTGTTGATCCGTCGTCTTGAGTGAGGATGGCTGAGAGCTGACGTTGACATTGAACACGAGACGAGGGGGGTAGGGAGGGGGGAGGCGAGAATTTGCGACACGAGCGCCCGTTTGCGAATGATGGGACGAGATGTGAAATTGAACGGCCCCAGTGGGATGGGACATTCGGAAGAAACTGCCTTGAACAAGCAACACCAAAGTTCAAGCTCCTCTCGGCCTCCCGCCTCGCCTGAATGATTTGCCTCAACTTCCTGCCTTGCCTTATCCAAGGCAGGACGAGACGACCAGAGGCAGGGATGGGAGGCGACGGGACGTTGGGGATGCAACGAAGAAGGTGCTTTCCGCTTGAACTTCTTGTTGCCGGCGGCATGTGATCCGATCCGTTTCCAGAAGGAAAAACCCGGCCGCCTCTTGCTTCAACACCTCCAAAAGTCTCCCGTGCGCCTTACTACTATGAGAGTAACATCAAGGCTCTACAAGCATTCGCAACCTCAGCCAAGCCACCCCGACCATCGCTGTTCAAACGCAGGCCCCAAGTCCTTCCTTCCTTGATCGACTGTTTCCATGCTACCCACTCGGTTTAGCTTAAGGAACGCCCGGGATCCGACCTGAGTCAGGCGAAAACCATGCTACGTCACCACGTGATCCCGCTCTTTGCCTTTAAGCTACCAATCTCATTTACCACGATTCTCATAGCACGCACGTACCAACATCGTTATGCTTCTGCCGTCGTCTTCCCCTGGGCTGTGCTGGTGGATGGTAAGTCCTCATTACGTAGTAGTCTACCCTTGTTTAGCTTGCAAGCTATCAAAATTCTTTTGCGCTCGGCCCTCGGTAGACGCTGCCAATTCTCCTGAAAATCTCCCAACATAGTATGAGGGGATTCGCAATTATGGCGATCTTGCCCTTCCAAGGACTACCGCAACCTCATGAAGCTCATATCGAAAGCCGTCTCCTGAGTTTGTGGAAATGGTTCACTACTCAATTAAAATACGTACAGTGCTATATTAGTTTCAGATGTCGGCACCGAAGCCTGCTACTGCAAAATGTTTCCGACTTTGAACGCTGATCCAAATTTCCGCCCGCCAGCCATCTGACTCGCTCACAACACGCTTGTCTCGGCGTTTGATCAAACATTCTTCCGTCTTCAAAGACCACCCCTCGCCGGTGAGCGTTTATATCACTGAAATCTTAATCTAACATCATGAGCATGTTACGGGTACGTAACTATGGCATGTATAAGCATCGAGGCTCCCCCTTGTTGATATGTTGCGAGATGCGTCTGCGTGTTGGTGCATTACACAATTACATGACCGCGTACGTCGAGGCCATCGTCCCGGACACCTCGGCCTGACATCGCATTTTCCCATATTTCTCGGAGCCTGTTTTCGGCGCCTGTCCCCTCCGTCCAAGCAACCTCAGCTAGTGCTACCTTGGCAGCTCTCCAATCGTCAAGTTGCATCACAGAGCTTGCGATGCACAACTTTGCTGAATACACAGCCCGCCATTTAGCGAGCTGTTGCTTTCCCGTAGCAGTGATGGGTCTGCCCGAGTTGGCTACGGCCGCGCCAAATAGGACGCTCCAGAACCACAAGCTCCTGCTGAAGGATCCAGAAATCATTTCCTCCTCTTTGTTGCAAACGTCGTCGATAAGTTGCTCTAGCAGCCATACTGTTAATACGCAGTCCATTTCGCTGTCATTAACTGCCATGACGAGGTAGAAAAATGTCGCTATGTAACTTGCTCTACTGCTCTTCGGATCACCGTTCAACATGGTGGCAATGTTACGCTCGGGATCGAAACCGCGTGAAAGCTCCCAGTTCAGGTTCTTGGTGTACCCTTGCCAGAGCAAGTCCGTTGGTGTCTCGGCACCTTCCCACCAGCCGTATCTCGGTGCCTGTCGCGGCGGCAGACTCTCCATGTCCCACAGCGATGTGAACAGCAAAGCGATGATGCTGGGCTGGAAATCGGCACTGATGGCGTCGTGTATGACGTGAACCTCGCCCCGTCGCAAACGATCACCTGCCCTATACAGCCACATGTCAACAAGCCGGGTCTGATGATGTAGGAGGGAGGAGGTGCCCTACATTTCCAACATTTGCTGGGCTAGGTTTGACCTCATCAGGTTGTACCCATTCTTTTTGAGCGTCAACTTGTGAAGGCCTCGTAAATGCTTAGAAGACGCATCTAAGTCGCCAACGGCGCCCTGTACCAAGTAAGCCTTGGCCACGAGTTCACTTGATAAAATTTGGAGGATCACTCACCTCGGTTAGTGCTAGTGATGCTATGGCAAAAACTGCCGTGTCGGTAACACCGTTTTCAGACTCGGAAAGCTGTTTCTTGGCGAATTCATAGGCAGCTGCTTTATGATAGAGAAAGGGGACCTTGACTTGCTCGAGTGACCCGGTGACCCAAGCCCATTGACAGGCAGCGACAACCAGGCAGCCATGAAGCAGGCCGGGGTGCATAAAAGTTCTCTGCAAGCTGCGTGACGAATCAGTATTGACTATTTCGCATCACGCATGGCGAGGTTCAGTACCTGCACAGATTCTGGCCCCTTTCTACTGGGGTTTGACCCCTAACATAGAAGTTGGAGACTAGACAATGTCAGCTGATCGGAACCCAAAATCGGACGGCATGACAGACATTGATGAAAAAGCCATTGCGACATTTCAGACAGTTGGTAGTCACCGGAGAAGCCATCGAACGGTTGATGGGACAAGACATTAACAAGGCGGGCTGACTCCTCAGCCGGGATCAACGCCGTGTCGGGTTCGGATTCGGGCCGGGACTCCACGTCGGTGACCGGGTCGGGGTATACGCAGTCCCTGCCGGTTTGCAAACAGGTGGTGCTGCGGGTGTAATGTCAGGCGATTGTTGGGCCCAGAAGACGAGGTCTGGATCGGTTTGCTTATCACAAGCATGGACTCCATATAAATGGGGAGACATGATTCAAGGGTAAGGGAGGTTGGGATAGGAGAGACCACGAAGGACATACCATAGAGGCTTGCGCTCGTCGCAGCGGACATGACGTTGCTTGCATGTCGAGCAGCCGTTCTTGCTCCGACGGTGGAATTTGCGGACTCGGTTCTTGGGCGGCGCCATTACAGTTCACTTTCGATGTCAATTGTACTCCACGCAGTCCCGGGGGTTAAAGAGGCGCCGAATGACCATGCTTGTTCAAGTGACAACGGTTATGCGGCCAAGATCGAAACAGATCTTGCAGCTGCACGATACAAAACCGTGGGTCAGCTCCGACAGGCAAGATAACGCCAGAAGAGAATGAAAACTCTGGTGGTAAGTAGGTAGGGTTGGAAAATAAAACCTATGTGCTTCGAGAACATTTCTCTTCATTTTAGTCCTGCTTTTCATCCGGTACCGTTAGGAGGGCGTTATGCGACGATGGCGATGATTGGCCTGGATCACCAGGTAGAAGCTGCTACACGAGACGTGCATGATAGTCTGACCAATGATAGAATAGAAATGTAATCTTGTGGAGACAGGAGGCAAACGACCGCCTCCACATTCCCATCAGTGGGATACTGCCAAGCCCCTGCGGCTGCCTCCTTGTTTCCCCAAGACGGCAGACTGAAGCTGCTGGAAGGGGAAGCCACAGGGGCAGTTGGATGTCTCCGTCCTGGCTGGAAACGGAAGCTCAAGATTTCCGCACAAACACAAGTTGCACAAGTAACTGATTCACCAAGCAAATCTGTCTACCTCAACTCGGTCCGCACGAAATTGCCATCTCCATTTCTGCAGTGTAATCTTTGGCAAGCGTGTGAGCCGTTCTGCCCTAAGCCAGACACAGCAGGCGGTCCACAAGCAAATCTTGTTGTCTTCAAGCGTCATCTCTGGCGTCGAGCGTCAAACCTTGCTCTGGTGAGTCCAAACCCATCTCAGGCACTGAATGCCCTTGAAATAGCGTTGTTCTACGCCTAGCGTCGAACGTCGAATGTGCTTCCATAGCTGGATCACCGGGTCCGGGATAACTACAAACAAAAGCATCGGATATTTTCTACCGATCAAGCACTCGTGACGGGGAGCTTGACGAGATAAAGCACCACCCCGGACCAGCCGGGGTTAAGTAAACATGCCGGAGCACATGGCCGCATTGACACCACGGTGAAAGTAGCCGGTCATGCCCCTCCGAATCGCCAGATTTTAAGTGGGACACACCGACTGTGATTTCGGCTTTGTCATGCGCATTTGGCGGTGCCATGCGCAACATCCCAGACTGGTCAATGCCCGCCAACATGGAATGCCCAAGTGCTTTTGCTGTTCATCTCGGTCGGGTTGGTTTTTGTCACTGCATCAGAGGGCTCGTCTCAATCGAAAGCATGCGAAACAGCACAGGGAGCACATCCATCCTGTCTCAATGCACTGGACCCTGGCAGCACAGCCTCCCATTGCTATATCTCCACAAACTAGACGGATGAACTCTAACTTGTCCGCAGAGACAGCTACGGCAGTACTCTGTCCTGGCCTCGCCAAATGCGAGACTCTTGTGGTGTACACAGAAACGTGGGGTGAAGCCATCTTTTTGTTTGTGTAAGGCAACCGAACTTGAGGCGCTCAAGCGACTTCAATGTCAACCAACAACGTCATCTCAAATTGGCGACATGATCGTCCCGCAGAATCCCCGCAAACCACGAGGCGGCGCTTGACAGCTCATCAAGAGACGAAATAGCTTGTATTTCCCCCTCCTCCACCAGGCAATTTTGGGTTGACCTGCTTGCTTGCCGTTGATTGCACCCCCAAGATCGATCATATCTGCCTACCCGCGCATCATGCATCTGCACAGAGATTGCCGGCGATCGCCCGACCACCCTCGTCGGTTACCCTTTCTTCCTTATTTCTGTTTTGCCTACCCAGTTTGAATCGTTGAGGTTATCGACAAACTTCCTAGGGTGCTAGGGTTTACCGATGTGCACGTCATCCCGTCTTGTTTGCCCTGGTCAATGGTTGACGACGTCGAGTCGATGCGATGGACGACACTAATCACCCGCAGCCAGCTGGGCGACCGGCCTCCGAAGCCTTTCAAGTGCCGCTATTGGCCGCTGGTGCGCTTCAATGTGCCCCCCCAATCTTCTTCAGCCCCAGCAACTCCATCTCTGGGATTCCTAACCCCCGGCTCCCTGTTCCAATACAAGACAAGACACTACCAGCTTCACGTCCCTGTGTCAAGGCTAGTTCATTCGTTCATTCAGCCAGCATGCAATCGTCATTCAGGCCATGAGCTTCTATCTCTTTTTTTCCCCTTCCTTTCGCTCGGCCAAACATCGAAATTGCAAAATTGCAGCCCCTCAGCAGAGCGACTGTCAGACTACCACCGTGGGCGGAACAGGATGCTCTCGGCGCCCGGCAACTGTTGGCAGGCTGGGAGGCTGTGTTGGCACATCTTTGATACTCACAAAGTCACGATTCAATGATGCTCCAAAAGCAACTCCCACTAATCTATGTAACCAAGTGGGCATCAAGGCATGGTTGGGCTCGTAATACCGTCAGTAGCGCGCGTCCCCCCCCCTCCTCATCATATCCGCCGCCGATTTTGTTTGTCTAATTTGTGCCCAACCCGGCCTGCTGTCACCGCTTCTTCTCCCGCTAGGTACAACCCTGCACAAATCATCCCATCCGGTACCGAAAAGCTACTCCGACCTTTCGGGCAACAATTCTCCAGCCCAGTAACAAAAAAGTTTCTGTCACAGCCCAATCGGTGCCCTACTTTACACAATTGGCCCCGTCGGCATCGACAGGAGTTGGCGTGTCCAATGACTTTCACGCATCCGCTTATACAGCCCGGCCTTAAGATTTGTTTCTCATCTGGGGTATTCCTGGTGAGGGGGGCCAACTGTCAAAAGTCGACCTGGCATCGCGCCAAAATAGAGGAGACGGGAAGGTACCCAGCCATTAAAGGGCAAACGCTGATCTCCCCTCGTTCGCTTATTCGGCTGTCCTGTCGTGTTCACATCGTAAAATGGAAAAGCAAGGCCCAACAGCGAAGGAACGGATGCCAACTTCCATTAGGGCGCCAGGATTGTGAACCACTCTAATCAAGGGAGCCCGACAGACGAACTTTCTGGACTACAGCGCTTGGCAGTCACGTATCCTCCAGCTCATGCGGCAGCCGTGGGCTTGAAACCACAGACGTCTCCGTGGTGTTGGTCATTGGGGCCGAATGCAAATCTTTACTCCAGTCTCGCCGGTCTTGCGTCTCTCCTGGTCCCTGCTCACCCTCCGCCTCGACTTCCCAACGGACCACATCCTTCTGCCCTCCAAATCAGGGATTAACCATAGTCGCCGCTCCAGTACCACGCCCCACGAGGAGGGACATCGCAGGCACACATAAAATGCCTCCATTCCGAACTTAATCATACACTGTCAGGATTCTGCCCGCTCCCCCATCCTCGTCCATCCCAGGAACTTGTTGGTTTCTTCTGTCCCGTTTTGCACCAGCAAGACCAGAGGATTTCTCCCACTAACCCCCCCCCCCCCCCTAGTATCTTTTCACATCAAGCCCTTCCCGAGCGTCTCATAAGTCTGTTAAGGTGGCCGTCGTGGAGACAAGTCGTTTCTTGGACCGATCACCTGCTTTGCCCCTCAACATCCACACCGCCCTTGCAACGACCCGGAGTTCTTCAAGGGTACCATCCTGGAACAAGACCATTTTTGTTATCGTGGATTCCCTTGTGTTTTGAGGAGACCTCTTGCCGCATTTTTCCAGGAATACTTGGCCCAAAATCACAGCCCAAGGGACTCTTTTTTGGACACCGGGGCTGACCTGCCCACCCAAGGACTATTCTTATTTCACGTGGCTTCCATCTCTGGACTTTTTGGAAACCTCCAAATTCGCTGCCTGAATTTTTTTTTTCTTCTCTACCGTTATGCCCCCAGAAGATATGGCCCAGCCGGACTTTGCCTACAGACCATCAGCCATGTCCAACGGACCGTGGAACTCGACGCGGAGGTACGGACCGCTCCCTTTGTTTCCTGAAGCCCCAAGAGGGACAGTAAAACTGACCGACGAGAAAAGTTCAATGTACAATGACACATTCCCACCCTCCGGAGGATTTGAGAACGGCTACTACCGTTCATCGAGGTAAGAACCAGATGTTGATGTTTCTCTATTTTCTTCTTCCACGGAGTAGCCAAATAACACCGAGCGTTTAAGTGTGTCCAATTACTCTCCCGGAGCCAGTAGCTACAACCTGCCGATTGGAACCAATCCCCATGCTGCTGCCGCTGCTGCCCCGGTGTACGGCTCTCGGCCAGCATCTGGAACGTACGGCACCAGTAGTGCCGGTGGTTATGGCTCGTACAAGAGTACAGCTTCTCAGGCCTGGGACCATCAGGAAAGATACTCCCCGACGGATTCAGTCGACGACATTATCGCCTCTCCGAACCTTTCTGACTACTCCCTCGAGAATGGAGCCGGCGCGACGCCTCCAAGCAAGGGTAAGGTGAACGGCAAGGGTCGGCCTCAGCGCCGACCATCAAACCGGGACGAGTTCGATGGTCCGCACCAGTTTCTCGCTCGCCCCCCGCCAGAGTACATCGCCATGCAAGAGCGCGAGCTTCCTCACCTCCCCACGAATTTGCACGTCCAAGAGCAGGACATGGTCCTCACACAGGTCAACGACCGCCTCTCCCAGTGCGCCTACGACTTTGTTGCGAAGTACCAGTTCCCTATTCCCTTGACACAAGACATGAGGCCCGTTGAGCGACCTCAGGACAGGGAATGGACAGAATGGGTGTACTTGTTGAAGCGTCTGGCAACCAAGCGACGTATTCCGGCGCGAGTGCTGTACAACGGCCAGATTAAGCAGTTTGTTACGATTCTCGAGAACTCGCTAGAGATGCGACATGCAGCCAAGCATCAAAGTCGTCCGCTCAAGGACGACCGCAACATCCTACAGCTCATCTCGGCGGGCATCCAGGTGGCTAAAATACTCAAGGACGCGAGCGCCATGGATTACCTCGACCGACTATACGTTTCCACGGAGAAGCAAATCCAGGACCGTGCCGCGGCACGATTCAGGAGCTAAGTGTGCTTGTCATGCTTCTTTCTCCCAATACTATTTGCCCCTATCGAATTTTACAACATCGTTGACATACCCAACCACGAAACGAGCAAATTCTATTTTAACGAGAAAAGGGCGTTAACGATCATCTATGGAACTTACGACGGACTGAAAGTGTTTTTTTGCAAACGGGTTGAATCCTTCTCATTAGAGGAGAGGAAGAGAGTAGATGACTTGATACGGAACGGGGGCGTCACCAAAGGACGAAACGCCCCCAGGACACGACCAACCATGGGAGAAAGCCCACAACTAGCTTAGCTCCTCATCATCACTTGGCAAGCCGGTGTGTCCTGTTTTTGTTTATTTGTTTGTATGGGAATGGTAATGCTACCCCCCGACATCATCGGGCAGGCTTTTTATCACTACTATTGAGAGAGAAAGATGGAGAGAAATTCCCCTCAAGTTCCCCCTTGAAGAATTGGTTACGCAAGCGAAAGGGCATGGGCACGCTATAGGGAAGCGATGGGCGCCAGGTTTTGTTTTTTACTCTTTTGGGAAGGGTTGAGGGGACAAACACCTCTTGTACATCGTTATTATCTTTTTTTTTTCCTCCTTCTTTTTCCTATTCTTCTATTCTTGCGCTTCCACGGCATGTGAAAGGGGTCCCGGTTTGTCGCATTTTCCACGCCGGCCTCCCAGGCTCCTGTTTGACAGTATGTATATGTGTGTGCTTGTCGAGAGTAGATTGGGGGGGGAATATCTGCCAGCTTCCTCTGTTTCTCCTCTCTTGCTACGCACAGTCTCTTCTTTTAGGCGGTCGGGCGGCTTAGATGAATATTTGGCAATTTGATATCCCCACAGCCCAGACTGGGCGCGCTTTCGTGGCGCCAGTAATCCATTTACTTGATATTAATCTTGACGACAGTCTGTGACAGGCCTGTGAACATCGTCACTCTCTTTCCTTCACCTTCTCTCAGCAGAACTTTGTCCCATCTCTACGTGTTCACTGTTCCCAAGGCGTCTTTTCGTATTTTGTGTCTATATCTACTGGCCGCCCTCCCCCCCCTGTGCCACGCCGTGGCCTACCCAACTACTGAGGCTGGGCGGCAAGACGTTGGGCCGAAATGAACGGTGATCATCAGCCGATAGGATCATGCTTCCGTGCCTGACGGGTGGCCTAGGAGTGGACCAGGGGATCGACATCGATCGATGGTAGTGGTCATCATTTTTCAATAAGGCCAAAATGAACGGGGGTGAGGCCCAAGGAAGCGCCAGCACCAAGCGCCAGACAGGAGGGGTTGGAAGACCGGTGATGTCGCATCCCGTTTAATGGGTCACCCGGGGAAGAGGGGGGGACTGGTTACAGGGTCATGAATAAACCCTGGGGGTTTAGATGGGTTCCACGGGAACGTGAGATGTGAATGACTAGGAGGGGAAAAAGCAACGACTTCTGGAAGAACGAAGAGGGGCCGGCGGAGGTAAACCGGCGCCGCCGAGAAGCTAACTTCACACCAGTATTAAACATCTCCTTTTCACCTGAAGAATATTCTCTTGACTAACTATATCAGGGTGAAGTGGACGATTGGGATAATCCTAGATATAATGTAAACCTTTAGCTTCTGGTGATGGGCTTTATGGTAAACGTCACCAGCGGCAAGGTTGGGCGGCTGGTGTTCGCGGAAGAGGAGTGACAAGTAAAATGAACACATGGCAACACGGCACCGCATCCTGGCCCGGGCGCCGGGGGGAGGTGGCTTCGTTAGAGTAGCTTTTCATGACAAGCTGACTTTTTTGGAACATTTATCTACTACTCGGCAATAAGATTTATGTGGGAGAAAGGGTGGTCGTGTGTGTATTGTGTATTGTGTATTGTGTATTGTGTATTGTGTGTATCCGTGCGGGCAGGAGAATCCGTAGAAGGTCGAAGCCGGTAGCTATGGATCATGGAAACATTGTGGAAATGCTGAAGAATGGATAAATTGGAGGGGGAGACAGGACCCAGGGGGGGGAGGGGAAGAGAAGTGGGATTCTGGAAAGGAGCGTCAATGTCCGGTGGAAGGCAGTTTCGAATCTTGGCTGACTATGAGTTGGATAAGCAGAATCATGTGGCAGCTAAGGTTTTGGGGGATGTGTAGCCGGGATAGACACGGTTCTGACGGCGTCGGCCCCTTTGGCAGTTTCTATCTTAGGGACCCACGTATCGGAGTACTACGTAAGATGGAGTCGCAACTTAAGCCACTATAGAGAGAAGGGGGGGGGATCGAGGATGTAGGGACGGGGGGCTCGCGTGGAAGAAGGAGGTTCGTCCAGGCAAGTTGGTTGACCATGTTGATTTTGATGGAGGTGGAGCGTGCTTCTTCATCAGACCCAAGGGGAGGGTTTCGTGCCAAGTAGTTCGGACTCGCTTTACGAATAACGAGTTGTTTCGATGTTCGAGCGGCGGTTGCGAGTCCGAGAAGAGCGAGAAAATGAGCTAAGATGGCGATGTGATGTTAGTCTTATGCTGCGGCCTCAACCTCTTATCACCGTTGCCAGACGATGTTCAAGTATTGATATCGCAAAGTTCGAATTTGTTCGGGTATCGTCGCACTGTGCGAGCAAGAGATTGTGAGAGGAGCGGCATCCTGCCGATGGTTACAAGCGGCACGCGATAGCTCTAAACAAAATTGGTAAACTGTCGCCTCTCTTTGATGCAGTTGTGGTTGTGGAGGACTGCACCGGCGAGGGGGCGGCGTCGGCCGGCATGCGTTGCAGATAAGCTTCCGTAGCCGAATGGGTTGTGTGTTTGCGCTGTGCCAAATATGGATGACATGTTGATGTGTGCGTGTGTGTGTGTGTCTACGTGACGTATGAGTAGGCAAGCTTTGAGGAGTCAAGCACTGCGGGCGTTGATGTCCATGTCGGCCGGGGATGCCAGACGCCAATCTGATGCTAGGAGATAAATGCGGTAGATCATCAGATTCGGTGCTGCAAGGCTGGAGTTGAAAGCGGGACAGGGGAGACGATGACGACGGACAGTTGTGCTTGCAATAGACAAAGACGACTCTGTATGCGTGTGGGCTGTGCAGCAAGGAAGACGAGATAAGAGTGGGTAGGCAGAAAATCTGGGGGAGGGTGTCCATTTGGGTAATTGTTGGGAGTGGTTCATGTTGCGAGCGAAGATGGGGTGTGGAGGTTAGTCTGATGGAGATGATGGTCAAAGTTTGCAGTTATGGCATCCATTCCCATGATAATGACAGGGAACGTGAGCACTTTTGATGGATGTATATGCCGTGATCAAGGGTCAGGAGCTCGGGCTGGTTCATTGATGCGAGTCCGTCTGTGGGATCATCCGGGGAAACTGTCACAATAGAATTGTTCAGGCAGTCTGCCTGTATAAAGTTATCTTTGAAGTTGAACTGAGCTCGGTCGATAATGACCAATATGGAGTGTGAAGTAAAGATGAGATACTTACACTGTCGGATTTGGTGTAAAAGATAGCGGAAAATACAGTGCCGATTCTTTTCAGCCTACTAAATATCAGACAGGTCCACCATCTCTTTTTAAGTTACTTGCCCTTCCACGTATCCAAGCGTTCTTGGAACATTCCCAGATGTCGTCTCAGAATCTTCTCTCCCCAGCCTCACACCACAACCACCGTTGAATAACCCCGAAGGACGGCTTCGGTCACCGGTGTGGCAAGGCGCTCCTCCCGCACCGTCCAGCCCGGCCTGGTGCCGGTGATGGATTGGGCATAGTGCACTATTCAGCCCATAGTAAATCGTACCCGCCATTCGGTCCCCAAACCGGCTTAGCGTGGGGCGGAGGGAATGAGCGAAGGGTCAGCTCGCTCAGCAGCACTACGCTCAGCGGCGGCGGCAGCTGCAGAAGGATTGCGGGAATGATTGAAGTGTTGGCGGCGGCGGCGCAGCGTCTCACTCTGGGTATGGGGTGACAGAGCCGTCCACTCGTTTTAACCCCGTTGGTTCGCCCTTTTTGCACCCTTCGTTCCTCGTTCCCGCTCTCCTGCAGGATTCCGGTACGGAAAGACAGGTAAAAAAAAATACCATCATTTCCAACAATTGAACGACGCCTTTATTTTCCCGAAGTGCCGCTGCCAACTTTACGATTGTAACCGCGTTCCTCGGGGGCTGTTTTTTGTGCCAAGGCAAACAACCACGAAAGGAAGATTTGCTCAGTTCCTCCTCACTTACCGCCTCTTAAAATCTTAGCTGTCCGCCTGGCGTTCGGGGAAAAGACAACTTCGACCAAAGAACAAAGGATTCCGAATCTAATCGATTTCTTCGCTACGGCCCGCTCGGACATCAGACGGCGCCGCACCAAATTCAAGAGGACTCATTTGTCATTGGAATCAAATCGATATTGCAAAAACGTTGTTCGAACGGACAGATATTCGCCGAAATGACGTCTGTCTCTTCAAGAGGCCGGACGCCTCACTCGCCTTACGACTTCGAGTCCGCTGCAGACACGGATGAATCATGGCAGTACCTCGACTATAACTCATACCCGGCATCAGTCGGATTCTTGCCTAGCCCGGCCAGCGGTAGTCTCAACGGCTATGCTGTCGTCGGCAACGTCGCCAGCTCGGACCCTGCGGGCCTATCCCCGCTAAACCTCGACCTCGATCAAGGCGGCTTCTCCGCCACGGGCTTCCCCGATCAGACGGATGCCTTTGCCGCCCCGGCTCCATCGGTAGATGGCCAGTTCAATGCCGGTGCTCAAGACCCTGATATTTTGACGCCGCAACAATACTTGTTTTCGGAGGAGCAACTCAGTGGTAAGTCGTGTGCTTGTGAGTTGTTTGTGTATTCATGACTGACCGCCCTCTGACAGAAATGACATCGTCCTTCCTCAACTCATATCAGACGAGTAGCGTACCTCTGACGAGCCTGGAAACATTTCCTCAACAGCAACAGCAAGACATCGACCTTGAACTGGACCTTTCACAACACTTTCAATCCAACGCCAACCCGGGCCCATGGAGCCCAACCAATCTAAAGGTCGACAATGGCAGCTCCGCGTTGATCATGGACTTCTCGTCACCAGCCCAGGGCTCCGCATCCACCAGCCCGAACCGCTCAAACCCCAATTCGCCAGACATTAAACACGAGAGTGACAAGTCCTCCTCGTCCAGTCCCATCCGCAAAGTTATGACCGGCAAGGTCGAGAAGAAGAAGTCGACAGAGCCTGCGAGCAAGTTTGTTATTGTTACCCCCAACTCCATCACTGCCCGCGCTGGTCAGCCCAACCTCTTCGAATGCTTCGAGAACATGCGGACGAATCCCCGAGGCCGCAAGGGACCCCTAGCCGACGCCACCAAGCAGAGCGCCTTGCAGGTGCGTCGGTTGGGCGCCTGTTTCTGTTGCCACAGCCGCAAGGTCAAGTGCGACAAGGAGCGGCCTTGCAAGAACTGCAAGAAGCTCGCGGCCCAGGTACCACAGGTTGTCTGTTGGCAGTTTTCCGATTTCTTGACTGTACTGTTCCCCGATTTCATGCGATCGCACTTCCGCAAAGACCAAATGTCCCGATTCATGAAGGAGAACGTCGACCTCGAAGCTATGGAGGAGCTAGTACCAAGGGATGTTGAGCTCTTTTCCGGACTCTCGTCGGTACTCAAGGTGCGGGCCAAGTTTTTCAAGCCCATCACGCCGGATGTGCAACAGCATTATCACCTCCACGTTGGAAAGGATAGGGTGGACCTGCAGGCCAGAGGCACAGCGCCCATGGTGTTGGAGCTGGATACCGCTCAGCAGAGAGATGCGTTGAAGAAGAAGGCGAAAGCTTACATCGCCGCCATTGCTACGGAACCAGGGTACGCCCAGCGGGTGACGGAGTCGACACGGCACACCGACCTGCCAAAGCAGATTCTGGCGATTGTGCAGGATTACGGCAACAAGACTGATGTAAGTTGTCCAACAGTCCTGATGGGGAGTACTACTGACACATCTTAGTCGGCAATGGTCAAGAAGGCTCTCGCGATATATAGCGCTCACTTCGTCATGACCCGCCACCTTTGCATCACCCGACCGAGCGTCATGAGCCTGCAAGACTCAGGACTCGTACCCCAAGAGGTGCCGTGGGTGACACCGCGTGTACTCAACCGACAGGTCAAGGCCGTCATCGACGAGTTGCTGATGCGGGACATGCAAAACCTTTTCGAATCCTTTTCAAAGTCTCTCAAGCCCAAGTCTCGCCGCGAATGGGCGCCGTGTCTGGCGGCGTTCCTCGTGCTCTGCTTGTTTATGGAGTCAGTTGAAACAGCAGCTGACACCTTTGTGGTTGCCCTCAACGAGATCAGCCTGCGCAACCGCACAGCACCCGAGTATAAGCGTCAGGACGCCCTGAACATCAACAAAGAGGTTGAAAACATGCCGTTTAAGCAGTTCGCGTACCAGTTCCATCAGATCTACCAGACGCACAGCAGGGACACGTCGGCGAAGCCGTTCAATCCTCTGATTGACAATGTATGGGCTGAACAGGGCGATATGGACGGGTCGGCCATTGAGATGGTCATGCGGTTGAGGAACTTGATTCAGGGTGACAACTGTAAGCTTCCTGAGGCCATCGTATTACACGACAGCGATACTAACAAATGTGAAGACATCGAGCTCGATTTCTTGACAATGGACCCCATTCTGCCGAATGGCGACGGCGAGGAGCACCCCTTCCCTCGCGATGTATCGGTCAACTACACTGGCCGCATGGTGGCCAAGTTTTTGCTCTCGTTCTTGGACGAGAAGTACATCTTCGGTGAAAGCACATTTTAACCGTCTCATTACGGACGGCTGGGCGGGAACCGAGGCTTTGACGAATGTGACGATTTAATACCCTTCTTCATACGTGCCCGGTATTTTAAAAGGCACAGATGAACATAAATATATAATAAGCGATAATGTCACCATCAATCCGCGTGCAAATAGAGACTAGACTAGTGTCTCGTGATGTATGTTCGTCCGATTTTAGTCCTGATGCCACACTATCTCTATGGCTTCAGGGTGGAGCGGACCGGTTGTCTAGACCTTGGATTGTTCTCCCACTCGAACGATAAAAAAGTAGTTAACACTCCCGCGTACTGAGATCGCGAAGTGTAGGCAAATCGTGGGTTTTGTTTGGTCTTGCTGACCTGTGTGAAAATTCTGTGCGGTATCCACCATAACTGCAATTGGCAACGGCACTTGCCTTGGCCAAAGGAACGCGGCGACATAATTCATCAGCAGCAAGCGTCTTGCGATGTAACAGAGCCGCTGATGCTGGAGATGAATGTTGAAAAAGGACCATGCATAAAAGTCCTGGCGGCCATAGCGATTGGCGGATAACGCGTCGAAGATGTTGACAAAGGATGAAAGACGAAAAAGGATGGAGGGGGAAGACGAAAATTATAGTCTGTGGAAAGCATGCTCGGCTACGACGGTGCTCCACTATCTATCGTATTATTGGCCAGGCAAGTACAGGCAGACACAGGCATCCGGCTTAGCTAATCCAGGCAACGACACCTCTGCCTTATCTGCTTCGTCCGCGAACCACAATTCCATTTCCCTTCCTTCTTCTTCTTCATACACTTTTTGCACCAATAATCAACCGGTCTCAACTATTGTTCGACTTGTGCTCGGTCAGTTTGAGTGCTAAAGCAAAACTGGGCTGTGCCTCCTTGTCTATTTTTCTCGGTGCTTTTCATCAATCATGATGGGAAACGTCACCGAGAAAAAGCTGCGGGGGAGTGATTTCCGACAAATTTTCCAATTGACCGGGCGGGCTAGGCACGGGCACCGCCATGCTCCAGATCTTGCCCGGTCCCAAATGCCTGCTGGCCCCTGTCAATTTTCCCTTAATACACAGCAAAAAGGTGACCCAACTACTTGGCGTTGGTCTCTTTGCCTTGCACAGTCCATTGGTTGACGTTTGTTGCGTTTAATCGGCGAGATGACTGGCCTCATTGTCATGGGCAAACTCTGGTCGGTCCACAAAGTACCAGTCATCCGGGCAGTGCGTGATTCAACCTTGATCGTGTTGACGTAGTTTGTCTGAATCTCGTCCATTCGACCCATGTGTCCCCCTCCACTCGAGTGAAGCCCAATAGCGGACGCTTCTCTTCTCGTCTACCTCATGGCTGACACTTCTGTCCGATTTCAGTCACAGCCACCTTTCGGGTCAAAGATTTATCCACATGGCTCCGGATGCCTTGGCCAGTCTCACTGTAAGGCGTACATGTCCAGGTTTGCAGTGCGCTTCCATTCCCTTTTCCTTTACTTTCTATTCTTCTCTTCCCATCTTTGTCTGCTCTGTAGCAGCAGACACTTTTTCCGGATGTCAATTCAGGCCTAGGCTGGCGACTCGTGACTGGAAAACTGGGGTTGCTGCCTCCGGAACCCCCGTGCTAGTCGTCTCCATGCCGTATCGGCCCCAGGCAACCAAGCTCGCCAGCCTCTCCCCCACGTTCGCAAACAGTTTTGCGTCAACACACGATGCCATTTTGTATCCTTCCTCGTCACATCTGCCTTCCATCTGAGTCACTGCGCACTGCTATGCTAGATCTGCCTTACTGAACGACCAGTGAGGCACCCATCCTTGTCGTCCATTACCGGTGTCACGGGCGAATGAGACAGCGCAATTGCCTGGATTGCCTGGCTGCGCAACAGGGGGCATCGGCGAAATGCGCCGTTGCGCAAGCCATTTCGTACACGGATTGGAAATGACCCCTTAGTACCGTCTGTATGTTGTCACTGAGGAATTCTGAGGCCCTTTGACAAGGTCGATTCCTAAAATGTTACAATGTTACATGCTCAATATGGACCCTTCCAGTTCGGTGTATACCTGGTTTTGAGGAGGGGCGCAATCATGTTTCGTCTGCCTTCCGGTCTGTCTAGCGTGACTCAACCTAGGACCCCGGCTGCTTTTTGAGGTTCTTTTGAGGTTCTATTGCACAGTCCTTGTGGTCTTGAATTGGCATATATATGGTCTGTTGATGCCTCAATTCGAAGTCTTTCTTGCCACCAACACATTACCATCCAACACTCCCCATAACAAGGCACACACTACACTTTGTCCTCTTGCCAGCTAGAATAATATTTACCCCTTTCGCCGTCACCAACACCATCATCATGTGCGCTACTACCTACAACAAGAACAAGGTCACCATGAAAGGCAGCCCCGGCAGCCATGACCCCAACGAGTTCCCCGTCGACCCAAGTATGTCACATGGCGCTTCCCCCAACCTTTTCACACTTCCCTTCTTGATGATCGTTACCCATATCCTGTACCATAAGCTGACCTTCAACAGCCCACGGCAAATAAACGTAGGGGAAGTCCAAAACATCTACCAGCAAAAGAAGAAATATACGAATAAACAACCAACACACGAACCTTGCATCAACGGCGTTTACGGAACATCTTCACTACATCAAGTGGACAATGACATGCCACACATGCGCGTCGTCGGCCTCACGGCTTTCCATTGGCTCAGCCCACAAATTGTACTATTCGAAGCGGAGTGCAGCCATGACATGGCCCATCTGCCCCTGATCCCGTCCCGACAAGGCGGTGAAAAGGCAACATCTCAGGCAGGCTGACATCGGGCCGCTTGGCTTTTTTATTATTTTTTTCATTTTGGAAGGGGTGGTATAATTCTCAAAGCACACACATTTACACAGGCGTTGGTGGGAATTGCAGCAGACTTCTTCGGTCTCCGCATTGATTGGATGATTCAGATTGTAGCCTTTATGATTTCTTTGGGGTTTTGAGGGGGTGTGTACAACATAAAGTATCTACGATAGGGACGGGTCATCCGCCCCTTTGCGTGGTACGAATATGGGAAAGGGTAGCGGATATATACACATACATTGCATCTCCATTTCATGCAGCGCCTACCGTACGGGGCTGGCTCCGCAGTGGCAGCCCCCCCAGTGACTAGTCTTCGTAGCCAATGCCAGGCGTTGGAAATCCACATTAGGAAAGTGTGGCATGTCGTCTATGTTTCTTTGGGAGAGGGGTCCTCTTGTGGGAGGGGGGCTTAGAGGGGGTGGGAGGCGGAAGGGTGGGATGTCGGGCCACTTGTCTCCTGGCTGGCCCTTGGCGGTGATGTTACTGGGTTGGATGCGGCTGGTGGGAATGTGCATTTTTTGTGATGGACTGAGGCACGAATACGTACATGATCTTGAAGGTGTCTTAGCGTTCCTTAGATTGTCGGTCTGTGGGGAGAAGGAAGGCCCTTCGATTGTGTCTCGGTTCTTAGTGGTATGTCTGATCTTGACAGAGGAAATATATCATACAAGCCCAGCAAGGCAACGGCAAAATAACTCACACGGCATAGGATAACTTTCTCCAGGACAGTGTGGTTTTGGAATTTGTCGAAAGTGAATGCGAGGCCGGGAGGTGGGCAGTCAGAGTGTTCAGTAGAAGTAGGGCAGGTATGTAATAGCTTCTGTCGCATATCACATTGCGAGGTTTTGTCAGCAAGCATGAACCAGTGGGAATGGCATGAGACGAATAACGTGTAGAGACTTCAAAGAGACGCAGAAGCCAGAAACCCTAGAAGTCCCAGACGCGTGGCCAGGTGTGGGGTTAGGTAACCGCAGCATATCACCTTCCCAGGTGGCGGGAGTGGCAGCACTACCATCAGCGCCTGTCCAGTTTCGAACACAACCGAAACTGATCCCTGTACCACTTTCTGGAACCCTGCAGAGGTGGCCTTTCGCCTATCGGGATGTGCTACTGAGTTGCGCCTCTTTGGCTGGTTCTGTGTAAGTTCATTGGTGGTGTTTGTCCGTGCGGCTCAATGTGCGGTCTCCGGGTCGGCGGGCGGCTGGGTTCCTGGACGCTAACACTTATGTCACCTGATCGAGATACAAGTGTGTGAAGGAGTAATCTAATAGCACGATGACAAGAATAGGTACTTGGGTGTATATTGTTTTTGTTCATGTCCACCAAAACTAGCTGTGTAGGTTTGATGCCAAGTTTTCAATAACGGCTCGCCCCGTAACCATAAACGTCTAATACACTGAAATCCTGTGCTTGAATCCGGCATGAGCCATTTTCGACTCTGGCTGAATCTCTGGTCGGACCAGAGGGTCAGCTCTGCACGGCAGATCGACGTTCTGGGGATGTGCAGCAACTAGGTCACATATTCCTTTGCTTCACGAGCCTTGTGCAGGGACTAGGCGGGTTATATGAGCTGATCAGATTTGTTTTCCAGCTTTTGAAACACTGATTATGGGGCCACATCTTTGTTTTGGACGTTCCATAATCATCTCCAGCCAGTCAGGTCATTGTGGCAACATAATCTTGAACCCCTTTGCTGCTTTCTTTCCTTCTATGACATGTTTTGAGTGATTGTGTTGCCTAAAGCTCACGCGAGACTTTAGTCTGATGTTCGCAATGATTTCGTGCAAGCTGCAGTGAAAATAATAGAAAATGATATAAACATGATTTAAGTGCAGATACCCATGAAGCCCACGAGCTTAATTTCAGCTGAGACCTAGCTAAACTGGATTTTGCATGGAGGAAAACTCCCTTTCCATGGAAATAATGTGAGAAGCCATACCAAGAAATAGTACGTGATTCTTGGTCTTCAGCCCAGGACCCAGTCGCCCGCTTCGAGGTTAATAGTTGTCCTCTCTGGGGGGAAATTCTTAACTATACACATCGCATTTTAGACGGATTTGTGAATGGTTTGGCTCGTCTAGACTTTTAACTCCATGAAAATTAGCCCATATTATAAGTGCCGCCCTACTAACAACGTTTTAGTGAGCCTGAAAGAGTCATCGTTCCTGTCAGCGCCTGAGTTCACCTCTAATTATGTTGTGAACTGTAATCTACTACGCTCTCCAAGCTTCATTTTTTGCATATCAATCGTAGGAAGAAACTAGTTGAATTATTTATCGAATTTTTTTTTTTCTTCAGTCGTTGATTGTCCTGTCATTTTTAACACTTGATCGCCCGTACTTTGACTCCTGTTGAATTGGGTGCAGCTGGACGGCGAAAAGGCTGAACGCGATCCAGTTCGGCTCTGATCACAGCCTCCTCGTGAGCCATCCCAAAGTGCATTGGTCAGTCCTCTGGTAAACAGAAAGGAAGTGCAAGTACAACATGCTGAACAAAACAGAGACCATATTTTTTTTTTTTTTTTTTTTTTGATAATTGGGAGAGGGGCTGAATCATTTTGCTAATCACAACTCACATTCGCCAAGAATGAAGCCTCATTGCACTAATCAGAAGGCCAGGAACATTCAAGATTTAGGAGCGACTCGTCAGGCTACCCCTCACGATGATCAGAGACATTCAATGCATAGTTCCTATATGAAAGAGCGCTCAAAGTGTAAGTTGCCTGAGGTCAGGGAAGCACATGGACTACTCGATGGCACCGGCCATGGCGCCTCGTTCAAATCGTGGAATGACGAGAATTTAAATCTCCTCGTGATGTATGCGTACAATGAAGCGTTAACTACTGGGATGGTCACTAAAGCGAATCCTTAGTCTGATCGCCTCTCATGTCATTTTCCGAACTTGTCACCGACGTCGATAGGCTGAGCCAAGACCCTATATGCAAACTAGACTCTGTTCAAGCGCCATATGACTAACAAATCGGACCTGCAGTTGGCCTGAAGCCTCCATTCCAGTGCCTTCGTTCGTGTCCAGCGACGCCCTACTAAAGTCTTGGTTGTTTTAGCGTAAGGCCACCACGGATAACATTGCTTTACACCCAGCTGCGTTGGCTTCAGTCTCTTTTAGAATTGCCTGGCTGGTTTCAGGTCAACCGAGTTCAGGTAGGGGACAGGGAGGTGTGAATCTTTTCAATCATTGGAGGGCTGCAGACCAAGACATTGAGGCCGATAACTCAACCCTGTGTTCCAGGAGACTCTAATTCAACTCATGATTTTTTGTTTGACCAACCCATCAAGGAATACTCGGGAAACCATGGAGAAGACCAGACAAGGGCAAAAGAAGTTGTCGATACCGATCCACTTGACCACGAGGCTCTGTACAACACCAAGATATCATATCTATACTTGGATACGAGATGGGTTGTTTCAGGATGTGTTGGCAGACAGAAGCCGGAGCTGCTCATTTGAGGACGGTGATGACACCATCGTTTAGAGATATGCAACACGAGCCACAAGCTTGGAACTGCTAACTACATGTTTGAATTGTTGGTTGAGCCGCTTCCAGTTCCTTGGTGCGTTTATCGTTCACCCTTGCTTGCCTTGTGGGTGCCTTGAACTGTCTCATGATCGTGACGGCAGTGGAACAAAGAGCCGAATCTAAGCGGCATGAGATGATACAAACTCCTTCTAAGATTGCAGCTAGATTGTGAACTCAAGCTTTTCACATGAAGATCAATCCAAGCTCCCTTCGAAAGGGAGAGGCCAATGTCGAGTGGGGGGTTGTCTCTGTGTCGCACTGGAGCGGAGACTCTGTTAGCCCATACCACTAGCTACAGCAGATGGCTTCCATGAGCATGGGCATACGCCTTGCTCGACTATGCGCATCAAAACCCCCGAAAAGTTGCAGCACTTATTATCTATTTTGAGAAGGAAAAAGAGATACCAGACTGCAAGTCAGGCCGAACTGCAAATACGAGTTGTGTTCCTGCTGCTCTCTATTCATAAACCGACAGGCGAGCAAATCGGTGACTTTCACCCTACCGAACGATGACGTTGACTTCAAGAGAAAACAAAAAAGTAAACATAGCAGCTACATTTCCTCGGCAACCAAATGTATAATTGCGGCTCTGTTCTGGCGAGTGAGTGTACGCAACTATGATACGCGACAGCCGGCCTTTTCACCATGACGTGGCTCGTCCCTCGCAGTTCAGGAGTGCGTAGTAGCAGCAGCAGGGATCGTAAGTCAGACACTTTTTTGGGGGGGAATTGGCAAACCTCGACCTGCAGACTCTACCGAGCTTCTGCCTAAAAATCCTGGTACCACGCCCTCTTCTGCCTTACCGATCCCACCAGCTCAATTAATCATGGTAAAACATACTGCGAGAAAGAGGCACACTTACGTTCCATATCCGGGCCACCGCACCGTAAACCTACCAAATCATGCTGCAGGGTCTTACTCCCCTTAGGCACCTTACCAGGATTAGTCTTTTGATGACTCCGCGATCTGGAACTTCACGCTGAATGTCCATGACTGGTGATATTCTCCCACTTTTGGCTGTTAATGGCCGTTTAGTCGGGGGTTTTTCTTCTACTTGATAGCATTCCCCGTCGCTTTACCTCGGGATAGACCCGGCCTCCCATATCCTGCCTAAGATTCTTAAAACACATTTATAGTCTGCCTTAGGACCTGCATTTTGCCTCTTGATCAACTCGTTTTGGGAGACCATCACACCCACTCGCGCTTTCATCCATCCTCTTCTGGACAGTAACACTCAAATCGGCCCACCACCCGGCTGCCTCACCTAGGCGAACCACCAAACTCATACACATATTCTCTCACAAGGCATCAACTCTCTGCAACGTCAACACCTTTACTGTTCTTGCACATTTCTCCCCAACACAACATATACAAACGGCGATGATAGCCAAGCCAGAGCACATCGTCAAGACTCCAAGTGGCGAGGAAGGCCAGCCTGTAGAGACACCATCAGCACCCCTTGATCCCTGTAAGTGTCAACTCCATTGGACCAGGCGAGCGTAGTCCTCAAACTGGCTTTATTTGCTTTACCGCATCCCATCCTACCGGAACCAGCGACAACTTCCAATTTTCCAAGTGTCATAAAGCTGACTTGAAATGTTGCCAGTCTGGGGTGCTTGACATCGCAACATGCTAGTTCAGACAAGGCGGAGCGGGTGGCTTCTGAATGAGAGGGAGCGGTTTTGGTCGTCGATCAGTAACACTATGACCTGCCGCTCATTACCACGATGGTTCAAACGGGTGCGGTTAAAAGGTCTTTACATCGGAACCAATAAGAATGTACTTTTATTATTAAACAATATATCCAAGTAAACTAGCCGGTGTCCGAAGACTCGTGTAACGAAAAACACGGTGAAAAAAGACATGTTTGATTGTCGCGCCTTGCAAGAAATCTGAGATATTGCACTGCTCAAATCTTTAGGAATATGAACTTTCAGCGATCGAGTCATCCGCAACACTCCATAGGTAACAACGATGAAGCTTTAAACTCACAATCATATGACCCGAAACCGTTATGATGGACAAATAAAGGTTGAGGGCAAGACAGAATCTCAGACAGCGAAGTGCACTTTCGGCTCGAATGGACGTACCACAGGCAACTGAGACTGGTTTAGGCAGGCAGACAAGCAGGCAGGCACCCCAGTTAGCGGGGGAGGCCCAACGCCTTGACCACTGTACGACTGGGATTAAGGTTCTAAGCCTGGCGGGGGGTCTCCCGTGGACCCTCCGACTTTAATTGATAATTGCCCACAGGGCATTTCCGGTCGCGTCGCCGCACTTGAGACGCGTCAAACCCACCAACGTTGTCGGTCATGGCGGTCTTAACTTCATCGCTCTCCGAGCTGTCCGCCATCTCGTCGCCAGACTCTTTTCGCACTGCGATCCAGTCGCCTGAAGGAGCCGAAGCTATGGGAGTGAAGAATGTCCCTGCGACGACGTATTCTCTGGCGAGCCAGCTGCCTCGCGAGCTGAAGGCGCACTGCCAAATCTACTTGGAGGAGCACCTATGTGCGTCTGCCTGTCATGCCCGCATTCCCTTTCGAACTTTGAGCTGACTAGTGTCACAGACAATGGCGCACTGGGCCTCCTCAACAGCCTTCTAATTGCTGGATACACTCGGAAAGGGATCGCCAAGAAACCTGTTTACGTTCCCCCGGCTACACATCTGGCCCTGCTCAACACGCTGGCCATCCACCCAAGCCATACTACTCGGGCCGCTGGCCCCGATCGTCTCGAGGTTGGTTCGCAAACACTTGACTATCTGCGTAACCTACTTGCTATCGTTGGGCCCATTAATGCCGGGTTCAAAGATGCCTTCCAGTTCCAAGGGGTGAGCTATGGTCGCCGGCACAGGCACCATGATGAGGAGGACGACGAGATCGACGGTGACCAGGTGAGCAACAAGATGGCCGTCGAAGACAGCATATGGCACCGCGCGCATGACTTCTGGGCTGTCGTAGGCTGGGCGTTCAACTGCAGCAGCATCCACCCTCGCCGGTGGCGCTACTGGAAGACCTGGTTGGAGTTCATGGTTGATGTCCTGGAAGCGGACCTTCAGGAGCGTAAGCGTATGGACGAAGAGTCAACGTCGCCTTCCCAGGAATCGACTTGGGCACATATGCGCGGCACTATCCTTGTCATGTATATCAAGCAAAAAGCCGACTCCAATCGGTATGGATTGAAGATGATTCAGCAAGCCCTCTTCGCCGAAGGCAACAGCTCAGCTGTAGCTAAATTCCCTGAGATCTTTAACAAGGAAACAAAGGGTCTCCCCAGCGAGGATAAAACGCGCAAGAGGATGGCCACGCTGGACATTGAGAACGATCAGTTTGGAGACTATTTCAACGATGATCTGGTGGACTCAGAGCCTTCTCAACCTGGGACCCCTACCACTCCAGCCACCCCGCGCACACCGGCGGGAGCAACAGGCGATCTCGTTGCTCCTGAAGTGGCCGAGTCTATCCCTATACGTTTGCGTTTGATGGACCTACTGTCAATAGTCGCTGGATACCTTCCTGGCGACTTCATGACCTACGCCGAATACGCTTCGGATCTCTCCAGGACGCTCAACCAGCAGCCCCTGTCGTTCTTCCGACAGTTCATCTCAGACATGAGAGTGCACGTCAACCGTGTCTTCGAGCTTGAACTGTTGGCGACCGAACTGGATCTTCTGCTGCCGTCGAGCTATAAGGATCCCGGAGATGTCGTGTCAACCGACAGCGGCATTATCATCAACGCCGAAGTGCTCAAGCTCTGCTACCTACCCCACCATGCCAACACTGTCGATATAGAAGATAATGCCAGGCTCGCGCTGATTCTTGAAAGCCTTCTTTATCACCTGACCCCAGATGAAGTTAGAGCTACCAAAGATGATTTGCGTGCAGCGGCTGCAAAGGGCATCGAGGCGCGCAAGACCAAGGCAAAGGTCTCGAAGCGGAAAGAGACGAGAAGCTCAAGTCGTCGGGGCCAAAAGCAGAAGGAGCTTGGTGACAGAGAACGGTACGCGGCAGAGATGATGGAGCTGGCAGGAGAACGAATTTTGTCGTACATTGACATCATGGGTGCCATTGTAGAGGAATCCGACGAAGACCACGATATGACGGATTGAGTGATTGGTTTAGACATACAACGAGGAGGTGCAACTCCTTGGATGGGCTGAGTGAGGGGCGTTCTATGGTGTTACAAGACTTAATGATACCCATACTTAATATTCCATTAAGGTTCGAATTGTTCACTGTTGCAGAGGAGGGACATTACGGTTTGTTTTCTCGTCCTCGTTCATCGACAATGTTGAGCTTCAAACCATGATCCTTGGTGCAAGTGCACGCAGCCCGATTGAGTAGGTGGGGTAGCCGATCACGAAAATTCCCCAGAAACCCCTCCAACATTTATTTTCAACTTCAACCCAACGCCACCTCTAAGCTTCGCACCAGAGCAGACTACGCAAAGATGCCTGTATGTGCGCTCCTACCATGCGCTCTAGTCGATACTGACTGACGTAAACCAGTTAATCATAGTCTCCGGCCTCCCGACGTCGGGCAAAACGACCCGTGCGAAACAGCTCCAGGCGCACCTCGCGAAGCGCATCGCCGCCGCCGCCGCCGAGCCCTCCTCGACAGGAGGAAGTAAGCAGCCCTACAGGTTACACTACATCTCGGACTCGACGCTCTCGATCTCAAGAGAGGTTTACGACCTCGACCCGAACAAGGTGCGCGCACACACACGCTCGGCCAACGCCTCGGAGAAGGACGCTCGCGCGGCCGTCTACGGCGCTGTTAAGCGCGTACTGACGGACCGCGACATTGTCATTCTGGACGGTATGAACTACATCAAGGGCTGGCGGTACCAGCTGCACTGCGAGGCCAAGGCCGTGCGGACCCCGAGCGTGATTTTGCAGATTGGGTGTGGGGTCGAGAGGGCCAGAGGAATCAACGAGGAGCGGCTGAGGAAGAGGGAGGAGGCTGCGCCGACGACGGAGACAGTTACGGAAGGAGAGGAGAAAAAGAAGGACGGCAGCGACGAGGACAAGGTTGGCGACGAGCAGGCTTACGACAAGGAGAACTGGGAGAATCTCGTGTTCCGCTACGAAGAGCCGAATCCCATGACGCGGTGGGACAGCCCGCTCTTCACGCTCATCTGGGACGACGACGAGGCGCAGGCTTCCAAGGTGTTTGACGACCTCTGGGACGCGATCGCGGGGACGGGCCGTAAGGTCGTGAAGCCGAACCAGGCGACTGTCCAACGCAGCCGCGACGCTGGCGGGGATTACCTCTACGTGCTGGACCGCGAGACGCAGGATGTCGTCAAGAAGATCCTGGATGGACAGGGCGACGAGGAGGGCGGTGAGGTCAAGATTCCCAACGGCGGTGATGAGCTGACGGTGCAGCTTCCGGGCCGCAAGGTAGGGCTGCCGCAGCTGCAGAGGCTGCGGCGGGCCTTTGTCGGGCTGAACCGTGGAGGCATCGGGCTTGAGGGTGTGGGCAACTTCAGCGTGGAGCGGATGAGGGAGAGTTTCGTCGGGTACCTCAACGGTAGCTTCGAACAGGAGGGCTGAGGGCTGAGGGCTGAGGGCTGATGGCTGATGGGTGGTGGGTGGTGGGTGCTCTTTGCCTCTCTGGATGGATAACGGGTTACGGGTTACGAGTGACGGGCGGAGGATTGAAGAATTGATACCCCTGGAGATGGAACACGACTGCCGATTGAGAGTTTCTCTATTCGTGACGTCCTTCGAAACTAGCACTTTGTGACCTACTCTACCGCCTCGTTTTCAACTCCTGTGATACCTAAACAATACTAATAGGGGGACGACTCTGCCTCAGTTAGTCGGGCAGCTAGTGGTGTTTCAACAATGATTGGGCACGTCTGACTTAGACTTCACCTCTGGGAGCGCCAAACCCGCCAAGGCTACGGGTGACGAGTCAGAGATGTGTTAAAGCTTGGAGGTATTTTACGATGGGCGACCAAGACGGCAACATCATTGGTATCTTCTGGGCTTTCGTCAACCTGCCAACACTTTGGAAAATCGAACGTATCACGCTGACGCGACAGGGAAAATAAGCTATTTCTGTCTTTGCTACAGCGGGCCAAACCGGATGCTGCTGCCCGAAATGGCCTTGAGCAAAGACAGAGCCGGTTACCTTGGTTGACGGCCGAGGGTGTGCAGTTCCCGTGCCGCGATAGAGTCTCTGAGAAAACAGGAATCCGGCATCTCTTTTGGGTTGCTGCTAGCGATCCCAAGATCGGATCAGGAGATTTCTGCGTCACCTCGTTCCCTTGATTGGTAAAAGCAGGGGGGGTGATTGTGCGTTTTGGTAAGCCTGCAGCTTCGCTGATACTGCAGCGAATCTAATGAGCAGGCCAAGGACCATACCCACCCCTCTAGAACGGCCTGGAGCGTGTTGGGGTAGAAGCCTTTACCTGCAAGGTGTTTCCGGCGGCGGCAGGACTGAGATCTGCGCGTGTAGTAGCACTAATCTGCGCATCGCCAAGAGCCGCATCGCAGCCTGGGTTCACCAAGACCACCGTATACTATAACGATTAGGATGAATTGAGCAGGTTTAGAACTGGCCACATCTGCGGAAATAACGCTATACCTTCTCGCTTCTCTTTGTCAGAGGGTCGAGGAAATCCGAACGGTCTAGAATTCACAAGAGCGGGCGTCATTTAGATCTAGAGACACGCCGTTGAGACGAACAGTACGGCAGGACGACCCGCCCGTTTAAGTTATGGATGGCAACTACGACACGGAAGGTCACAAAAGGGGTATTAAAGATGTGCCACATGAGGCAGACTCGGCGATTTCTTGAGGGGGTTTTGCCGAGCCTGAGATAGAAGTAGGACAGGGTTATGGCATCGAGAGAAAGCTTGTCGTAAGCCAAGGGGCCTTGGTGATCCCAAGAGTCGTACAGGCCGCAAAGCCCAGACAAGACTAAGGGAGTGACGGAGGTCCCGGGGGTTTGGAATAAAAAAAAAAAAACGCCGGCGCAAGGGTGGTAGCCAAAGATGTCACGCCGGCGATGCCAACCAGCTGGCAATAGTGAAACTGTCAGTACAGAGGGCTTCCTAAAAGATGCCAACGCTGGCTTTACTGGCACTAGTTTGAGACGACACATGTGGCAACAGCTGGCCAGTGCAGGCAAAATGTCGCATGTCGGCCGACTTGGGGTTGAGGTGAGACTTTGCCGCTTGCCTCACCTTTAACCACGTCGCCTCACATGGAGCCGGCAGGTAGCGACAGCTAAGTCATGTGTTGGAAATGTAAGGATGGGCCGATACGATGTCGGGGGGTTTCTAAACTAGCAGTGAGATAGTTGGCGAGGGCGATGGATAGGAGCGGGTCGTGGGCCGTAGAAACCGAAGCGAGTTGGCGCAAGAAGGATGAGCAGAGGAAAGTATGGGGATGGCCTGTTGGATCATTCCGTCTATCTGGATTGTCGAAATGCCATGCTGAAGCTGAGGCAATGACAACATGTGTATACATCAGAAAAAGTGCAGATGCACAGTTCGTCGGAATCAGGCATTTTACTGTCGGACGGGAGCTATAGGATGGTCGGCCCAAGCCCCAGGCAAATGAAAGGGCGGACGGGAAGGAAAGGAACAAAGAAAATGTGAAGGAAAATCGCCAAGACTTTGGCAAGCCACGAGCGATAAGCTTTGCCAAGAGGAACAGAGCCAAGACGGGCAGGTGTGGGAAGACTGGGACTTGGGTTGGGGAAACTGGCAGAGGAAACGGCCTGGAGTAATGGGTAAGGGAGGAAGGAGGGAAAGTTGGGCAGAGAAAGGAAGAGCACAAGCCACGTCTTTCCAGTGGACTCCCAAGCACATTGGACCTATAGTAGTTGTTGCTTCCTCAAGCAGGCTCAAAAATTGGGAAGGCAGGAAAATGCCTGCCTGAGAGGTCAGGCTAGAGGATAAAAACAGACACAACACCATTACGCCTGCCACTCTGTACCACGCAACAATGCGGGGTTCGATGCAGCCCATATCAATTTAGAAAATGGTCATTGGTTCTCTAGCTCGACTCATCTAAAGAGCCAGCAGGTTTTTTGGTTTTTGTTTTTGGGCGATCGGTCAACTGGACTACGCCCGGCTTCTAGAGCCTAAGTATACTTCGTAGTAGCAGCACCTTGGATACTTCTCTTTAACAACGTGGGCCAAGGGACGATTTGAGCCACCACAATCGTACCATGGCCAATAGATTGTCTTCAACCCAACTTAAAACAAATCCCTAATTATCATTTATTTTGCCTTTTCTCAAGAACGAGCAAGACCCAGTGAGCTTCCTCATGAACCCTGCGTCGATGAGTGCCTGCCGTTGGCCCCGACCCCGGCCATCTTCTCCTCCCTCATCCGGATATGAATATAGGTAAGTTCCGAGAGAGGATGCTCGCACCGGCAACCTCACCTCAATCAATCACTACTGTACTATAGTAGGAAGAAGAAGGGGAGCCGTGTTAGTGGTGGCCTTTGCTCGGACTGGTCCGGTCATGGGTAAATTCCATCAAGCCCCCCTCTCCTCCCCTGCCTTCAGTTTTTGGCATTAACCTATTAGGGATGATAGCCCGGGCATATCCACTTGTAACTGGACCCACTCTTCGCAGAAAGCCACCGGTGATTGGAGGAGATATGAGGCACGGGTCGAGTCTCGATTTGGAGGTGGGTCTGATGTCGAACACTGTGTTGGACACCCCAGGTACAGTGTGCAATCCTTCTAACCACAGCTCATTTATCATTTCCCTTTCCAGGTCAGGGCACCCACACCTAACTGAGGCAGGGCAGAGTGGCAGCTACGGTGCTTCTACAGCGCCAATGATTGCGTTTATCTATTCCCGACTTTGACCGTTCTCCGATTACCGTCCAAATTCATTTGCAACTCCTTCCGATCCCTAGCTTATACACTAAACGGAACAAGGAAAATGTCGGGTAGATGCCCGGCCTCCAGGCTCAGGCACGCACCACTCTATTTCTCTCTGCTCTTTGTCCCTTCATCGCTCCCTGTTATGCACACAAGCAAGCTAGAAGACTTGATCCGATAGCAGTAGCATCACTACCGCTACCACCACCACCATGCCGAACCCTGAGGAGATCTACGTCGACAGGGGGACTTGGGGGGATTCGACTGAAAATGGTCGTACTCTTTCCATTTCTTCCGTGTTTCAAGAGCCAAGACAAAACGCTCGGAATCTAAGGGACGACTGGTGGCCATCTGAAATGTATTCCCGACCGTCCGTCTCCGTTTCAGGGTATTTCCCTCAAGCGGGGAGGCTTAGCAAAGTCAGCATCCAGGGCACCGTCCGCTTCCAACCTTCTTGCAGCGGGCACACGCAAGACACACTTTTTCGACCACTAACGGCGAGGGGTAGCCATGCAGCCTGCCCGGTCTAGTGTCGGGCGTACAGTGTCTTGCTCTATTCTCGATACGTACTGAAAGTGGTAGCGCCTACGGAGTAGTGCCCGTAATCTACTAAAGGGCCATGTAATCATTGTAATGACAGCGCCCACAAAGACCCAAAGACCCATCAATTTCACTGCAGGTGGCTGACAGCCAGTGGGCGTTCTACGCCGCCAATGAGCCGGACGTCCCTGGAGTTCGCTGAAGAACGGAAACGGTAAGGGGCCCTTCTTTCTAGTTGTTTGGGCTTATAGACCCAAGGAACAAGTTGTGGGAATATGACGATTGACCCTGACGTATGCACTACCAAGAGACTACGTTATGCTCTCGACGATGCCAACAGGTCGTCAATGCTGCTCGAAGCATTTCGGCCGGAATGAAATGACAGTATCTGACTCTCATCTCATCTTTCGCAGTGTGGGCAAGAGTGAGCCTGAGGTGGCATGAGGGGACAGACTTGAGAGTCCGTCCGTCTGTTGTGCGTCTCGCTGCTGCAATCTTGATGCACGAGAGGTCCAACAAAACCTCGTAACCTTGACCTTGGTGGGCCGTCTTGCTCTTGCTCGTTTCGCACTCACTTACGGTGTGCACTGGTTGAGTTTATTTCGTGCGCTCCTTTCATGGGATCGACGTTGGGCATGTGGAAGAGTGACCGACCGGCACTGCGATCCAGATGAGTAGACTGCAGAACTCATACCTCATCCTGATTGCATAGGGGATTTTGCTTTGTATCTTGTCAACCTCAACGGCGAGAGCACTTTTCTTTTTGGTCTTGTAGATCTCTTCAAAACCCCTCGGGTCCGCCAAGGCTGTCACAACATGATCGCGCTGTATCGCGACGTCCTAGGGAACATCCCGATCCTCTGACTCGGGATCGTACAGTAATGCTCTGTCAGTAAACTGTACGTTTGGGATGGAAAATACCCATACTAGGTTAACTCTTGCCACTGAAATCACGTATCAGGCACTGTTGCCCGCCTTGTACACCGTAGCATTCATCACTGTCCGCTCCCCCCCAGCTCTCATGGCCAAAGGGGGGTGGCAGCTGGTGTGGTTCTAACCTTTCGCACTATGCTTTTCACGGTGTCCTATCCACCGTAACACAGTATGCTTCGCCATGTTCGCGCAGCACGTCTCCTCACACTATCTCCCCACCCCTGTCCAGGTAGACACACCACTGCACCCACCTACCATGTAGTACACACCAGTCCAGCACCAGTACCAACACCGAGCAAGTACCAGCAGAACCAGCAGCGTAGCGTCGTTTCTCTCTACCCAATTCTCCCATATCCATCCGCTTCCCCCGAATTGCTATTCCAAAACACTTTCGAGACGGCCTGCGACTCCACCGCGAGCAAATCCAGCCAGATTTGGCCAGCAATTTCAACAAAGCGCAATAAAATACAGCGCGCCACTCCCCGTTATCCTTCATTCTGTACACCCCCCAAAATAGTGCTCGCTCGCCCATCCTTCCCCCCCAGCTCTCCTTTTTTCGCCCTTCCTCTTCCCCCGTTTTCTCTGCTCTCCTAAGAATCTCTCGGCGCCCAGCCTGCGATCGCTCCCACATCCCCCACACGCAAGCCTTCTTGGAACCTTTTTCTCCAGTGTGGCCAACTGACGATTCTCTGTGACTCGACCCCGTTGTATCGACAACTTGACCGCGACCTGTCGTCACTGTTATACCTATTTGCTGGGCAGTTTTTCAACAATCTTCAATCCATGCTTCGGCCCCCGAACTACCTCTCGATTCCCTAACGATTTTTTTTTGTGTGTTGAACTGGAACTGGAACGCCCGGACTCGTGCCCTCGACTCTCTCTGCAGCCGTCCGCCCGACCGAGCCCACGAACTCGCGTCTTCCCCCGACCTCGACAACAACCCCGACAAACCAACCCATTAATCGAACCTGCGAATTATCTCGACAACTTGCATGGTACATTCGATGGCGAGTGCTCGCGAATAAGAGGAAACCTCCTTAGATCCTCGCCTGCGGCTGGCCGCTCTGTTCCGAATCGACAAGCACCCGACGAGTTGGCGCCGCGACCATGGTGGACTTCGCTTCACCTGCGAGTCCTCTGCCCTCTTTAGGGGCAGCCGCCGCCAAATTTGCGACTGCTGCGCCCGTCATCATTGCGAATAATGGAATCAACCACGAAGAAACCTCGTCCGGAGGCACCGTTCAATACAGCGATATGCGCGACGAGTTCTACGCCTCCATCTTCCCTGTCTGTTACGCTCTCGCCGCCACCACCGTGACGGCATATATGCTTGTTATCATGCTTTTCATTACCCCCCGGTCCTTCCTAGACGGCGGAATCGTCTACCTCGGACGACGCGGCTTTACCAGTGGAGCAACCTCGAATGGAATCAGCATCGGTGGACGTCCATGGCTGCAAAAAGTGGCCGCTGTGACCGTGGCTATTTCTCTGACGATCGCCAGTGCCGATACTTTCAAAGTCGCCGAGGAGCAATACCTATGGTCAATTCAAGACGCCAAAAAGTTGCAACTGGAGGTTATGGAAGGTACCGAATTGAAGGTGATTCGCCTCATCTCCGACACGTTTTTGTGGCTGGCACAAGCCCAAACTCTCACCCGACTCTTCCCACGGCAGCGGGAAAAGGTTATTATCAAGTGGACCGCATTCGCGTTGATTACCCTAAACCTCATCTTCAGCGCCCTCAACAGCTTCCAGTTCCCCGCCAGCGGGAGCCAGGGAAACGCCCGTCCGCGAAGCTTCGTCGACGCCGTTCCCGCCCTCAGCTACCTATTTCAACTCTCACTCGGCCTCTTGTATGCCGCGTGGGTCATTTATTACTCGCTCATGAAGAAGCGTTACGCCTTTTATCATCCGTTGATGAAGAACATGATTCTGGTCTCCACCCTCTCCCTTTTCGCCATCCTCGTACCCGTTGTGTTCTTTGTATTGGACATGGCACAGCCTGAATTTACCGGGTGGGGTGATTACGTTCGCTGGGTTGGTGCTGCAGCTGCCAGTGTCATTGTTTGGGAATGGGTGGAGCGGATTGAAGCGCTGGAAAGAGAAGAAAAGAAGGATGGCATTCTTGGACGCGAGATCTTCGACGGAGACGAAATGTTGGAGGTATCTGCGTCGGAATTCCCATGGCTTCGACGGAGAAAGAACCGTGGCGGCCCCAGAGATGGCGAGGGCGGCCAGGACGGGCCTGAAGGTGGTGGTACTGGCGCTCAAGGTCCTCCCTCTGGTGGCAGAGGTAACCTTTGGCCTGGCATGACGTCCATTGCGAACAGGTACCGCGGCAATCACAACAATCAGAACAACTCTACCGCGAACAACGCCCAAAACGGTCAAAAGTCCATCGGTGGTCTTCTTCGTCCGCCCATGTTGCCACTTCGACCCGCTCCTGCCGTAACGCCCGTGAGCCGAACCGATACGGCTAGCGCAGCCAGTACTGTATATGCTGTCAGATACCAACTGCCGTCAGAAACAACGTCACGGACACCAGAAGCCGCTGCTCAGCGCCCTAACCAAATATCACCGCAGCGGAATGCCGCAGCACCCATGTCGAGGAGCAGCTCGACATCCTCCAGAAGCGACTCGAGTTCTGATAACGATGCCGCGTCACTGGCAGCACCCGTGCCCAGACAAGCAACCCACAAAGCCGTCGAGATTGACACGGAAGCCCAGGAAGACCCGAACATGCAGAACAGGAAAGGATGGAGGTCTTTGGTTGGTAAGCCATTCTTCCGTCTTAACGCACGCGATCCTCCCGCAGAGGTGATGGCCCATACCGAGCCGAAGCCCGAGGTTCGTGGAGGCCACGACGACGCCGGAAGATGGGATTTCAAAGCCCGCCTCGAGGACTTTGCCGCGACGCAGGCCGAGAAGATCAGAGAAAAGATGCGACCAACCCCTGAGACGGACAGTTTACCGGTGACAGTCATTCCGGCACCGCCCAGGCAAGGAGCCGCTCTGGCACAGCTTTTGGAGGAGGAACGAACTGGCGGTCAGGAAGCACCTGAACGTGCAGGATTGACTAGGACCGCCAGCGATGCTTCGGCTCTCACCCCGACTACCGGAGTTGCGCTTGCTGCACACCCAACAGGCGCACTGGGAAGAACGACAAGCAACTTTTCTCACTTATCTCGCGGTGTTAGCCAGACTGACGAGCCAGCCACCACCCAACTCAATCGACCACCTTTATGGCCCGGAGTGCGTGCTCAACCTCAGGAGTATGACCAGCTGTCGCCCATTGTGCCACAAGGCAGGCGGCCAGCAGACGACCTTGGACCGCCGCCCAATGCTTGAAGCGGGCCCTCTGATGACTGAGCGTGTTTCTGTTTGGGTTATGACAAGCGTGGCGCAGTGGCTTATTTCTTATATATCATATCGCATGACGGCGCATCATCAACTTTGGGGAAATGGAAGGCTCCGGTACGAGCCTTGATTTGATTTTTTAGGTGTATATTGCGGAGTACATGGTACGGACTCGATGTGTATATGGGGAGATGGATGCCCCGAGGGGCTCGGGACACCAAAACATAAAACAATCTCGCCGCGAATAATGAGTAAGGGGCCGGGATAAGAGCCCCTACATGTACATGTTGGGAAACAGGACAGCCTAGCCGGTGACGCGGGCTTAGAGATGGGCGTTGCAAGATGAAATTTTTCACTTCCAAGGAGGAGGACCAAGCTGACTTGGATCATGAGTTCAGTGAGAGCAAGCAAATCGCGTGCTGGAATTAGCAGGCCTCATGTCGCGATGGGGACAGACGAATTGGGAGGAGATACCAGGTGCTGTCTTAAGGGGGGGCATGAGGTGGTGAGAGGATGATAAGCGACAGTCGCGTCAATGATTCAAAACCGTTAACATTCACCTGCTTTACGTTCCTCTATATCGTGATCCATGGCTGTCGTGTGCAAAACTTGATCGTTTCTGCTGCAGCAGAACACTAGTACCTTTGCAACAAATGTCACTTGATGCCCCCTCCCCCCTGGCCCCCTGGACATTGTATTGGAGTGGCCAATAACATAACTGACAGACGATGGCACTGGGTAGTTTAAAAGTTGAAGCACAGCTGACGTGGACGTGGACGTGGACGTCCTCGTCTCACACTTTGTAACGCCGTTGCAACGCAACCGGGGGCGATTGGTCCGGGAAATCCAAGTATTCTGATTCAAGATTTTCCGCGTCACAACCAGCTTGGCTAACCAATCCATCGGGAGAACCAGCCAAATTCTAAAGCACATTCTACTCCCTCCGCACTCATATCGCAGCGGTAGGTAACGACGTCACACATCGGACCGAAGGTTAGCAAAGTCAATCTCGGAACACTCGACGCCGATGAAAGTGTATCTGGTTTTCAGGAGAGAGAGCACAACGTTCGGGCTGGTGGGGGGTTGTCTGCATCTGACGCCTTGGCGTTCGCGGCCTAGGCTACGCGGGCGTTGACACTTGAGGAACGACCAGGGTACTAGAGACTCGGTGGGAGCTTTTTTTTTTATTTTTATTTTTTTTATGAACCGCTTTGAAAAGCTCGGGGGAAGTTTTGCCAAGGTACGGGTGGCTGATGCCCAGCGTGTGTGAGTGAAGCCTACAGTTGAGAGGTATGAGATACTCTGTCTGTCACCTTGTGAGTGTATGTGTGTGTTCTGAGATTGGGCCGCGCAGTGTGGACCCTAATTACGGCGATATTCACCGTGTAGATGAGCGATGTAATTGCTACGTGAGGCTGAGTGAGAAAGATATTTCGCGCTGGTTGGGCTTGGCCTCTTGGCGATGATTTTGGGTCGAGTCCGCTCTCTATCACGGACGCAATGCACACCCCCCCTTCCCCTTCCCCTCCCCCCCTTTTAGAGGTTATTTTGCCTCATGGTGGCTGAAGGCTTCAATTCGTAAGCGCAGTGGTGATGATGGGAGATTTCGCCTCTGGTATGCCGAGAATGTGCTGGGGTGTTGGGTAGATGGGTAGTTAGTCATGGAGGGACGGGCGGGGGGGGGGCAGAAGCGTGATAGGCCTCCGTCGCTTCCGGGAGGCAAAGGTCATCGACCGGCTGTCACCGATTGTCTGGGGGCCGTCGTCCTGGTTGGCGGCGAGTTAGTGAGAGTGGTACTCCGTGTTTGCGCTTGCTATGTCAGCAGTGCCGGCGCCGGTGGCCGGTGGCCGGCGGCCAGGGCATCCGGGGTGCACTGCGAAGTCCGAGGGACGGTGATGGGGCGAGCAGTAGACATTTAGACTACGTTTTGCTGACTGAGTGTTCCGAAAACCAAATCTGGCCCAAAGCAAGTCGACAGATCTTTTGTATCTGCCCAATCTCCCTCTGTTTTTTTTTTTTTTAATGTTTCGGGATTGGCGGTAGTTTGGCGGTAGTAAACATGTTTCGAGAACGTCGATGCCGGATTTGTCGGACGTTGTGAGAATACGAAGGCGCGCCTGTGTGTGTGTGTGTGTGTTTGTGTGTGTCCCGGAATTGGACGTTGCTGACAGGTAAGGCCGACTGTAGAGGGCGCTATATCGGCGGACCCTGATCTACGGTGACGACATTGTTTTGGGGGGCTTGTGGAAGGGCTACCAGGGAGTCGGGATGGGTTTACAGCGGTGGCGTACCGTAGCCGGGGGTGACACTGTGGGAAGCGGGTTGCATGTGAGAGCGGCATGGCAGGCGGGGACTTTTGGTTAGCTTGGTTGGTTCCTCAGTGGGGTTGATAACCGAGATCTGAGGAAAAGCCGTTGCTTGTTACAAATGCCAAACGTCACTCAAGAGCGCCGACATGCCGTAGCAAATTGCTAACATCCTTAGGTCCCTACAACCTCTGACAATGGAAGTAGTGACAGCTCTCAATGGTTACTTAGTCAGAGTTTTTGTTGATGGAAAGAAAGAAAAAAAAAAGATTTGGTGGTGGGTATAAGTCAGGTAGATTGGGTCGCGATGAGGTGCTGATGAAGCGAGTAATGTGACGGTTGCTGTCCAGACATTTGTCGGTCTTGCTTGGTTCATGCATGCTGGAGTAACGGTTTCTGGCGGTGAACGGGACACTTCTAGGTCAAATGTCGACGAAGACTACGTACATGGATGGCAAACGGTGTGGAGAATTAGCAGTCAAGCGCCGGAGTCGAGCCCGAAATTCCAATCATCCTTCTTAGTGACCCAACGACATAGTGTTCAAAGTTTCTCAAGCCTGGCACATTTGGTGTGCTTTCAAGAAAACCACATCACATGACAGGTATATCGGGCTGCAAGTTGTAAAGCAAGACGTCTGCTCGTGCATGGCTCCTCTACCAAGACAGCCTTGCTATGTGCTTCTATTGACTCGGAACCCCGCAAATTATGGATTTCGACCAGCGATCCGAGTTAACAACACGTTGAATATCGACTCTTTAAGTACGACATCGAAGACCGTTGAGGACAGTTGCATGGAGTTTCTGATTTCGATCTCGATCTCGATCGCACGGCCAAGGTGACCCATTTCTTCAAAAAGGCCAGTTACAAGGTACACGCAATTGAGCTTTGTGAAACCCAGCAGATGGACCGGGGACATGTCTGCTTACATGTCTTTGAACTGCAGAAATGAACGGGGAACAGGCCTGCTGTGAGTTGCCATGTTGTTCGTTACAGAGGGTTGACCCCGGTAGAACGGGCATGTCCGGACGGTGACACAGGGCACGCAGGTACAGCGCAGCCAAGTTCCCCAAGGAGTGACAGTGCATCTTTCCCCCTTGCCGGCGGGGGGTTAATGGAAGCATGCAATGCAAGATGAGGTAAGTTGGGCAGGGTGTGTGTGTGTGGTCACAGTTGGTTAGCATGGGGCTTCCCGAAGAGAACTGGCAAATGGCACATCGCGCTGTGCGTTGTGGCCACGGCTCCTTTACTTGGCCTTTTTTTTTTTTTTTCCCTTTCGGTTTTCTTCTTTTGTTTGCTTTAATTTCAATTTTTTTTCTCTTCGTAAGGGGCCTCTCGAATTCTACCCTCTCAGCTTCTGGCCTTACCTCTAAACTCGCTCTTGGACCCCCGTTGGCAGGGCCAGAAGGAAAACAGACGACTGGTCCACCGGTCAGACGAATTTGACGACGAAACATGCTAGATCCAGGGAGTAACCTTGAAATTCTCGCTACCTGAACTCCCCTTCCCCCCCTCGTTGCGCCTGCTCTGTTTTGAGGTGCTCCACAGACCCGCAGACCGCGTTCGCCCTACCCTTTTCTGCCCAAACTTCCATGATCGACAACGTGCCCCCCTGACCATCTCGACCTCTACTGCGCTGCAACGAGCAAAAAAACCTCCTTTTTGGGATCCGCGCCGACCTTGTCCGGCCTTCCTCCGCAGCACCCGCCAAAGTCCTCCATAAACTCAAAATCATCGTCCATCTCCAGTCCTTTACGTTCTCTCTTCCTTGAATCCGCTTCCCTTGCCCATCCCATCCCTCCCTTCCACGTCTTCATCTCAAGACAACTTGTCAGCCAAGCCCGTCCTCTAAACGAACCGCGACGCTGCCCAGCCAGCCTATTTGCGACAATGGCCGACTCCGAACCGTTCCCTCTTCTCAACACATCTGTCGACCAATTGCACTCCGTCGTCGACCATCATACTTCAAACTCACCTCGCACACGACGTCGGAAGTCTAGCGCTTTCGGTCAGGACATCCGCGCCGGTGACACTGGTCCTGCATATGCAAGCTATACTGCCGGGGACAGCCCTATTCCGCCTGTAATAGCCCCCTCTATATAATCTCTTCCCAAGCACGATTCTTCTACCCTCAATCCAGACCTCCAACTCTCTCTCAGTGGCCCCTCTAGACTCGACTAATGACCCTTCTCTCTCTTACAGTCCCAACCTACCAAACGAATCTCCAAACGCCGGCGTGCACGCGGCGTCCTCTCTCGTTTCCGTCAGGCCATGATCAAACACACATACATTGTTCCCGCCATCATCATTGCCATCTTTGCCGCCCTTTATGCCGTAAATCCGTCCGAATCGAACCCTATCTCCCGCTTCATCTTCCTCTCCTACCGTCTATCCCCCGACCCAGCAAACCCTGATGCGCCTGCTCAATATGGCAAGGGTCTTTGGGACATTGCCTTCGTGGCATTCTATACCATTGTCCTCACCTTCACCCGTGAGTTCATCATGCAAGAGCTCTTGAGGCCACTAGCTCGCGCCGCCGGACTACGGTCTCGTGGAAAGCAGGCTCGCTTCATGGAGCAGATGTACACTGCCATATACTTTGGCTGTCTCGGTCCCGCCGGTCTATATGTCATGAGCAAGACTCCAGTTTGGTACTTTAGCACCCGCGGAATGTACGAAGACTTCCCGCACATGACGCATGAGGCCGGCTTCAAATTCTACTACCTCTTTCAAGCTGCCTACTGGGCGCAACAGGCCTTGGTATTGTTGTTGGGTCTGGAGAAGCCCCGTAAGGATTACAAGGAACTGGTCGGCCACCATATCGTCAGTCTTGCTCTGATTGGACTCAGCTATCGCTTCCACTTTACCTACATGGGGTTGGCAGTCTACACTACACACGATATCAGTGACTTCTTCCTTGCTGTAAGTCTCAAAGGAATTTTGGTCCCAAGAATAGCAGCCAGGAGCTTCCAAAAGAATAGCAAGTCGCTGACACATTTTAACAGACTTCGAAGACGCTCAACTACATTGATTCGCCAATTGTCGCGCCATACTTTTTTTTCTTTGTATGCGTCTGGATATACCTGCGTCATTTCATCAACCTCAAGATCATTCTTTCGCTTTTCACTGAGTATACCACCGTCGGACCCTTCGAGCTTAACTGGGCCACCCAGCAGTATAAGTGCACGCTTTCCCAATACATCACCCTCGGTCTCCTTGCTTCTCTGCAGGCCCTGAACCTCTTCTGGCTCTTTCACATCTTTCGCATTGCCTACCGCTTTCTTGCGTACGACATTGCTGAGGACGATCGCAGTGAGGCCGAGGGCACGGATGCCGAAGACGAAACTCAGCAAAAGGCTCTGGCTGCAGGAAAGACCAATGGTCACACCACGGCTGTGAATACCAGTGCGGCAGCAAAGGCCAGAGCTGTAAATGGCCACGCGAGGTGAGAGGCCTCTGTCGAGGAATTGACATAAAAGCATTAAGTGTGGTGTTGTTTGGTGTTTATGAAGTCATTCGCTTGCATAAGCTAGCTCTCGCATACTGGGCAGTTATACATGGATCAGCATTAAAGGAAGGGAAGAATGAAGCATATCAAGAACGAAACACGCAACCGTTCGATATAGTGGAGATCATGACTGGTCAGCCTCCCGGATCATGGTAAAGCGGGGAACCAGTAATTATCGAAACGTGAGGTGCAGAACGCTCCGATCACGATACACGAGCTTGGATAGTGCCGTTCAACCGCACTGACTACACATACGAAACGGGCAAAGAGTCATTTACTGCGGCGTACTATACCAAGAGCTCGGCGACTACTACGATGGGTGCCGTCGGCAGCTAGTATCATCTATACAAGAAGCAATAATCTATCAGTTAGTCGCCGCACAATGAGAACATCAACATCAGGCACGACGGCTACCTGCGGGTTTGCGACAGCGGAAGACCTCGGATTGCCTGAACGAGCAATATGCATGACTGTGGCTGAGGAAGTAGGGCGCCAAGAAAAGGTGTCAGCGGCGTTGATGGTGGGTAGTGCGAAAGTGGACGATGTGAGACAGGTGTGTGTCTGTGGTCGATTACGGCGCACCCTCCTCCGCTCACTCTGGCAAAGCCTCCCTTCACACTGCTCGCGCGTGTGCACCAATCGCCTGCTCATCTCATACTTCCTACGCTCACAGCATCTGAGTAGGAATCCTACTCAAGGCAACCCCATGACAGGACACACACCTGAGTGTTTATCGGACTCTAGAATGCAACAGATGCAGAAACAAGGGTGGTGGATCCGATGGTGGTGTCTGAGTGAGACGCCTCGCAGTCCCATTTCCCGATTTGCGACTGGGGGCATACGGCTAAAAGAATACGAAGAGTTGGGGACGGAGGTGGATGTATTTTGGTGTACACAGGAGCTGTTTTCAATTGTCCTTTCTTCAAATAGATGGAAACAGAGAGAAAGCGAAAGAATCGTTACTGGTAGGCATGTGCTAGGCTAAACAATCTGCAAGCTAGGCCTTGTCGGAGAAAGAGAGAGAGACAGAGAGAGAGCATCTAGTCCGCTACCCCGTGTACACACGAACCGGTCTATTTTGCAATACCACATAGTTGACAATGGCAAGAAGCCGAGATATTGACTATAACAATATCTGTTTTGTGTAAACTTTTGGACCGTACGCTTGACCTGTCATTGGTTCTCTTTGCCTAGATATTGTTCAGTGTCACTACGCACTGCTCCTCTGGACGTTTTGAGTGGCTTCAACGACGCTGCACCAGAATTATTCACATCAGTTCTCGAGCAGCAAGATGAAATGGATTGATTGCCTGGTCTTTTGAGTTGAGCAAATGCCATCTCTGGCGCTGCAAGTCTACTTGCGCGCGAATCACCGTCTATGGACCGTAGCCGCGAAGCTATCATTTTGTAGCCGTCGCTCACAATAAAAGGAAACATGGAAAAGGAAGAGGGGGAAAAAAATCGAAGGTATGCCTAACCGTCATCCTGTTTCTCTTCGTCTGCCCTGTCTCATCCGGAAAATGAAATATAATGCAAAAAGTAGGCGCTGCGGTGGTTCTCTCTCAACTTGGGAGAGGAGAAACTCAATCACTAGCCTACACCCATTGCGTGCGTGTATGGGATTTCAAAGATGCCAATGCCAACCCTCCTTCCATTTCCTCCCCGAAAGGCTCACCAATGCCTTTGCCGAAATCCAACCCTTCCAACCGCCAAATCGAAAAGTAAGGTCCATCCTGGTATGTAAGACTCTGGTATCCGTGTTGCGATGTCAAACAGCCTGCCCATGGTAGCAGGTGATGACCCTGTAATAATCGAAAGCATTTCTTGCTGTATGATTCCCATGATTAAAGGAAGACAATCCCCTCCCTGTATGATGATGACGATAAACGAAAAATGCAGTGTCCGGTTGAAAAGACGATTCGCATTTGACGATGTTAAGAAGACATATTATGAAGCAGAGGCTGAGCGAGTCGCAGCCTTGGAAGAAGGATCGTGTGTGTTTGGATGTTGACGTATGAGAGTGATGCTCCCCTGCTAACCAACCAACCAACCGAGCCGGGCCAAGAGACCATTTCTCGAGGCCGCTGTTTTTATTCCACTCGTGCAGGTCTTTTTGTTTTACGGGGTCCCATAGATGAAAAGGAGAGAAAGAGAGAAAAAGAAATCGAGTGTGTAACTCCAAACTCCAAGTCGCCGGTCTGATGCAATCTTAAGCCGTTAATCCGTGGTACCTGATTCGTAAAAGGCGCGTGCCTCGTTGTATTCGTGAAGAAAATATGCGGTAGAGGATGAAGTAACCGCAAATTAGAGTATAGAATGAGTAGTGACAAGAGAGCGTCGTGAGTGCGAGTGTCCAGGATGTCTCGAATGTGTTTCGCCTGCTGAATCTTGCCCTATGACATGCCTAATGTAGGGATTGAGGGCATGTTTAGTTTCGGTCAGAATGTTCTGAGTGATCCGAGTCGTGGTGAGCACTGTGGACAGAATCTGCGTCAGAGCTGCTGCTTGAAGCACTAGATGAGTCCTCGCCAGTCGTGTTCGCTTTTGAGTTGGCCCCTGAGCTGCCTGGCAGGATTGTCGAAGAGTCAAGACTAGTGTATCCGTCCGAATGTCCGTCCGTCTGCTTCTTGGAGCCAAAATTGGCTTTCTTGAGGAGTTTCTGTGCCTTCCTATGGGCGACGCGAGCCTTCTCTGCAGCACGCTCTGCCTGCACTTGCTTCTCCCACATTGAAGCATATCGTCCATTAGCATTAACAAGCTCTTCATGGGTGCCCTTTTCAGCAATGGTTCCATTGTTGAGGACAATGATTTGGTCAGCATGTGTAATGGTAGACAACCGATGCCTATTTCCCGCGTTAGCATGCTAACCTTTCAAGATTCGATTTGGTAACAGAAATAAAGGCGAAATCACTTACGCTATGACCAGCAGCGTCCGGCCTTGACCCAAATGCCCAAGCTTGTCCTGAATGAGTTGTTCAGTATGCGCATCAAGGGCCGAGGTAGCTTCATCCAGCATGATGATTTTCGGGTTCTTGATGATAGTTCGTGCAATCGCAACCCGCTGTCGTTCACCACCACTCAACTTCAAACCACGCTCACCGACCTTGGTATTGTACTGGTCTGGGAATGACATGATCCGGTCGTGAATGCTGGCAGCCCGGCAGGCCTCGTATACCTCCTCATCTGTGACACCTTCCCTGGCGTACTTGAGGTTGTACATGAGCGACTCGTTGAAAAGAGTAGTATCTTGGGGGACTACTCCGATAAACTTCCTGACCGAATCAATAGTAAGGTCCTTGACATCTCGTCCGTCGATCTCGATGCTTCCGGAAGTTGTGTTGTAATAACGGAACATCAGGCGGAAGACAGTCGACTTGCCACCGCCAGACTCTCCAACGAAGGCAGTGGTTGTGCCAGGCTTGCACTCGAAATCGAGGTCCTTCAAAGCCTTGTTCTTTGGGTCGTAATTGAATGCGACGTTCTTCCATCTGATGTTGCCCTTGCAATCTGTCAAAGGCTGGGCACCCGGTGCATCGACAACAGTAGGTTTGACCTTGAAAAGTTCAAGCAGGCGCTCACCCGAAATCATGGCCTGTTGGATGGTGCGATAGAAGGATCCAAATATGTTCAAGGGTTGTTGCAACTGGTTGAGATACGTCATGAGAGTAACAAAGCTGCCAACTCTCATTGTCTGGCTGGTTACTTGGTATGCACCAAAGACCAATACCACGCTGAACCCGAGAATAAAGACGCAGGCCTGGATGACGTTCATTCTGTTAACACCCCAAGTCACCTTTCTCTCGGCATCTTGATATGATTGAATGGCCTCCCTGTATCGTTGGAACTCCTTCTGTTCGGCGTTGAAGTATTTGACCGTCTCATAGCTAGTAATTGAGTCATTCTTTACGGCTTCCTCTTCCCTGTCAGCATTCGACATAATCCTACGCTGGTCGGCCCTAGTCTGCGCCATGCGTATCGTAAGGAAAAGGTACCAAAATGTCAGACAACTAACAATGGCCCCATATGTCGGGTCGAAGACGATGCAGAAGACAGAAATGGCCATGAAAAGATCAATAATCATTGGCAAAACGGAGAAAGTCGCCTGCTCGAGGAAGGAGTTGATTGAGGCGCCTTTGTTGAGAGCAGACAAAACCTCACCAGTTCGTTTCCCTAGATGAAAGTCCAGGCTGAGAGAGTGAACATGCTCGAAAGCCGCCGTCGTAAGGGCTCTGTAAGAGTTTTGTGAGATTGGTACCCATATGATAGCGCGGAGCGCATCCAGAAGCATTCCCGAGCCTTGCATGAGTCGCAGCAAGATGAAAAGAGCCAGAATAGCCCAAGGAGCTTGGCCGCTGGTCAGCTTGTCAGTGAGCCAACCCACGACCAGAGGTACTGCAATATTGATGGCTCGCTGAGCAAGCAGTAAGACGCAGCAGATGCAGTATAGCAGCTTGAGGTTGGATGAATTTTTAGGCCACTGATACTCGAAGAAAACCCTGTAGCTTCGGATGTATTCCCACCAGGTCTTGTGAGGAGCCTTCTCTGGTCGATAGAAACCGGGTTCTCGGTAGTCCTTAGCAGTGGAGCTCTCTGCCACGCCATTAGTGTTGCCGACAACGCTTCCGTTCCGAGAGTTGCGAACTGATCGTCCATTAGGATCCCGCCCAGACTGGCTGCTGTACGACGTCCGGGGGCCATTAAGTAGCGGGGTAGTCTCTTCAGCGCGCGCAGACAACCTGCGCTCTTCAACCTTGTCATCCTCGTGACGAGGCTTCTTAAGCCAGGCCGCGGTGTAAATACCGACGAGGAATATCATCAGAACAAGGCGGATGACGTATATGATGAGATCAACCAGATCCCACTTGGAGGCCGAGACCTCTTCAAGACCACGAGATGTCTTGACGTATTGGGGCTCCAAGATTTTGATCAAGGTGCAAACGCAGATCGTTAACTCGCCAACGAGACCAAGAGCCCAGGTTAGAAAGTGGGATATCGTTGGGCTATCACGCCATTCCAGGTGCGTAATAAATAGGTAAAGATAAAGATTCGGCGAGCCTATGAGGTAAACCTGTTGCCAATTAGCCGGACGCTGTGAGGAGAGGAGGCATGGTGTGGTTACGTACGGCCATGCTCTGAGATTCCTCCCATCTCTCAACGCCATCTTTGGGTAATCCTGCCTTCTCCAATTCCTCCGCAACATGGCTAATGTGAGCGACGCCATTGGCGATGAAAGTGAAGAACACGGCAAGGGTGATCCATTTCAGCCATGTCTTCGCAATCGGAGAGAGAACCGGGCCGAGCCGTGTGCGTTCGGTATCGTCGTCATCGCGGCGGCTCTTCTTTTTGGTCATAGGCAGCCTCTTACCGCCTGGCCCCAGAGTATCTGCCTCCACGTTTAACTCCTCTTCCTTTTTTGCCGTCACGATGGTGTATGTGGCGGCTGTGCCAATGAAAACAACCAGCAAGGCCAGAGGATAAGATATTAATGTTCGATCGAGTATGCAGGCGGACCAAGAGCCATCGGTGCAAGCGCGGGTCAAATCGTCGCTGCTGCTGTCGAGCCGCATCGGCAGCGGCGGCGTATCAACACCGACCATGGTGTGAACTATTTGAGGGCGAGGAAATCAGATGTCAGAAAGAACAAATACAGGGGAAAGCGGCCCCCCTGCGTGGGAGAGAGAAGGTAGGAAAGAAAGAGGGAAAGAAAAGGAAAGCGTCGCGAGGCAAAAGCAAGAGCCAAAGAAGTATTGTAGCGAAAGTGGTGGAGGTGCCTAGGCGTGAAGGTACTTACAATTCATGATCCGGAGGGATGTAAGTTGTTGACCTCACACCATTGCCAAATATGCCACAGGTGGAGAGCTTCAGACGCAACAGTCGGCGTCGTCCCCGTGGCAAGCTGCAGCTGGAGCGTCGTAAGGGAAGTGGGAGCCCACACAGAGACAAGAACAAGACACGAGATCTCGTTTCGGGACCAAGATGTTGGAGCAGGACACCAGTCACTGGAAAGCCGAGTGGCCTGGCAGGCGATTACCCGCCCGTCTAAAAGGTTCTGGGTCCAGGTCTTGCCGGGGTTAGGTAGGGGTCGGCGCTGAGACTAGGGGGGGTGTCGTGCAAGCGTGCGTTCCCAAAGGCTCGTGGTGCTGGGCGTGCAGATTGAGCCCACAGCAGGACAGGGCGGTACAGAGGGGCCTTGTTCAGTTGGAGTAGTGGTGGGGTCGGCTGACTTGCTCAGTGGCGAAAAGCCACCCGAAGTCCCTGGCAATCGAGTCAAGACTTGTCAGATACTGGGCGGTCGAGGACTGTGGTGGGGCCTTCTTTCTTGGTGGGCTTCTGAATGCAAAGCAGAAGCAGGCTGTGCCCCGATCTGAGGCAAGAACAGGACAGGCGGCGCAGAGGCGGCGACGGCGAACTGGAGGAGTCTCGAGGCCGTGAAAAACAGCGCTGGTCCTAGAGTTGGACCGACTTAGTAACAGTGAGACCTTAGACGGGAGGGAACCAAGGAACAAATGCTTGTGACCGGGAAGAGCGCTGGAGAGGGACCTCGGGTTCGGAGATGGATCGAGCGTGACGCAGTGGGCAAGACAGCTATTGAAAGCCGGGGTTAGTACCGGGCTGTAGCCGTTGAAAGTGAAGAGTGAAGGCGATTGTGAGGCAGGTGATGCTTGGTTTTGTTATGTGTGTACTTGTGAGATTTTTTTTTTTCTTTTACTTTGCTTGATGCTCAAGACGTAGCTGCTGGCGCTGGAATTTTCTCTTTTTCTTAACGAGCGACGGTAAGTCCACCAGCAAGCAAATTATGACGAGGGGATATGAGGTGTAAGATGCCCAACCAAGGGTCTATATCGGAAAGGATAGGAAGGAAGTTAACGACAATGGCCGAAGATAAAAAAGACCAAATAAATCAAACAGCCAAAAAGGCGGGTTGAGAGGTAGTGACGATGATGACTAGTGGAGGGGATGGAGGGCGAGTGGGTGGGAGGAGAATGATGGAAGGAAGTACAAAAGCAGGTACCGAGGACAGAGGCACACCTGGCACGCTTGAAAGGTAGGCAAAGGTTGACAAAAGGAGTAAGAGCTGCCAGGCCTACTGCCATATGGAGCTATAGCGCGAACAAGAAGGTAAGGTAGGTAGTTTGTGTAAGGCAGGGAAGAAGGTTGGGTGGCAGCAGCCAAGGCAGGCAAGAGCACCTTAGCGCATCTTGCCTTTTGCAGCACTTCGCTGAGGGGAAGGGGGAAGGGGAGTACTTTCCTTGAGCAAGAAAGAGAAACAAATGAGAAGGCGAGGATGGGGCAGCACCTACTAACCTCAAAAGATTGACCAGTATTGTGACGACGAGTGGAAGCCTGTGAATGGCAACAGCCACATACGCGAGCAAGGAGAGGACCGCGTCAGTAGCGCAGTTGTAGTGGGTGTGGTGGGTTCGGCGGTGCTGGTGCCGTACCGTTTAGTTGGAGGCAGTGACCAGTATTCGCCCCGGTGTAGGTTCGTCTTGCGCGGGGGGAGGTGCAGTGGTGAAAGGAGAGCGTATCGGGTTTGGCGAAGAACCAAGGCGCCAACTCCACACTGTCCCGGTTGATTTGCGTGAGTGGAGAGGGCTGGGAGCGGTACCGTTGCTGCCACAGATACTGTAGCTGGGTTAAGTCTCTCTTAGTTGGGGCGTCAATAAAAATAAAAAGCAGGCATGCCCTGGGTGGTAGGTGAAGAGGTTGAGCAACCGGAGGAAACTGTAAACAAACTGCAACACCGAACGTCGAATAGTTGTATAGGACCGCAGTACCTCAAACTACGGGCCGTGGTATTGAGCTTGGGACGCCTTGGATACTGGTAAGGTATTGGCCGCAGTTTCCTGGACGTCAAAGCAAACAGGAGGGTCTGGACTCAATTGCTAGAGGACGCAGCTCTTTTGCCAGGGTCCTGACGTACGCCCTTGTTAGTACCGGAGCCACTCATGCATACGATATTGCTCGTTGGGAAAGCACGGAAGATGGAGATGGGCATGTAGATGGAGACGAATGGAGATAGACGGGGAAGGGGACGAATCGGGCCCCCAAATGCGAGCCGACGTCCAGGGAGAATAATAAAAAGAAACAAACACGCGCCAGGAGAGGAGAGAAGGTTAATTGTGGAGGAAACGGCTGCCGAGGTGAGCCGTGAAGCGATGATGACAGACAGGCTTTCAAAAACAGTACACAGCCCAGGGCCCCAGGTGACGATGCTAAAAGGATGATAGAGGGGGAGGCAACCGACACTGGTGGCGACGACAACGATTTGTAAAAAAAAAAAAAATTTGGCTGGTGGGACATGGGATTCAGATGACGATGATGCTCCTGTTGTTTGATGCCAACAAAGATGTTGTTGCCGTTGTTGCAGCTACCGCATTGTTTTGGCGTGCAACTGACAGCTACAGGTAATGTCCATCAGGTGCAGCGACTGGGTATCCGTAGCATACTTCATATTGCGCAGTGGCCCAGGCGGCCGTGTCTTTAAAATGACCAGAATAGCGCCCTCGTCCCTTCCACGCCCCTTACCATTCTGTCACAGGCCAGGCGGGGCGGGGCGGGAGAAGTTGTTGGGATGAGGGATCCGAGTCCCGAGGCAGCACCCACACGAACACACGAAAGCACACACACTTACCCTTAGTGTTTGGAAGTGTTCCTTAGCGGGTTCTTTGGGAACAGTAAAAATGCCTGGCGCCTACTGCAGTTATCGATCATGTTCCAGGTGTTTGTTGCAGCTGACGGGGGAACGAATGTGAGCTAGTGCCAACTTCCGAGGTCGTCCCATGAACGTGATGAACGGAGAGTTGGCATGGATGATGGGTGTCGGTTATGGAAAGGAATGATGGGAAGTACAACTAGGAAGAGGAAGAGGGGCGGAAGGGGAAGAAAAAAAAACACCAAAACAACGATTGTGAGTAAGGGATATTGACAAGCGGACGGAACACTGAAGGAGGGGCAGCTTACCAACCTAATAAACTGGGAGGAGTAGAAAGTCTTGAAAATTGAGAAGCGCAATATGTTATCGACCCTTGTTGCTTGTAAGTCTGAATGGAGGCAAGTGCCGCTGCGGATGCGTATGCGGATGCAGACTCAACGCGAGGTAAGGTCCAGGACTGCAGGTCCTTCCGGAGCAGGAGCTGGTCGGTGTTGATGAGAGCCACCTTAGTTTATTGCCGTTCCCTTGGATAAGGAAGTAAGGCATCATTAATATCCGGTTGTCACCACAGGGAGGAGACAAAGTGTGCAAGGGGCGCCGTTTTCTGCTTTTTGCTTCTTCTGCCTCCTGTTTGGTGTTTCCCGGGACGCTTCCGATGCGTGCGTGCTTCCCCTGGCCCTCACCGTAGTGCTGATTGTTGCGGTGACTTGCTGCTTCGTTACTGTCGTGCAGGTCCCCTTGGCCTGAGTCTAGGAAGGGGCTGCTTGGAAAGAGTAACAGTGACCCTCTTGACCTTACCTTGCTTATCCCTATCTTTTTCTTTCATCATGTCTTTTTTTTTTTTTTTTTCCTTTTTTCCCTTTGCATTGCATGTCTAACTATCCTTCTACTTTATTTCCTGCCTGTGTTACCTCAACAACAGGTACAACTTTGGCAGATCGGCGTGGTTTTCAGCGCTATGAGAGGAGCAGCTCTATAGACCGACCACTTTGACTCGTCCGTGATGGTCTCTGTCAAAGAATGGCTTGAGGCCACCCAACTAACGGATTCCGCTTCGCCTCGACTAACTTTTCGCTAGCTTCCCTTTTCTTTTAATTTTCTCCCCTTGGACACCGACTTGTTCTCTTCGAGTTCTTTGCACAGGAATGCTTATTGCTACTTAAGGTTTCTGCTGTCTAGTGATCGCCCCGTCTGAAGGAACTGGCTAGAGGAATCATGAGAGCCAAAACATAACACAAGCTCATTCAGCAGTGTCAAGAACGTTCAACTTCAAATTGCTCTTTCGGTTTCATACAGCGCTGTTGGACGCAGGGAAAACGGACATGGCAGCCAAAACGCCCTTCGGGGGAAACGCGCCAACGACTGAGGCGAAACCGCCCACTTGTCAGCCACGGCCAGCTAGCATTATCAGCTTTCACGAAACATGATGCTACATTGTTCGACCTACAGCTTTCCCACCATCATCAGCCCGCTTCGTTTCCAGCCCGCTCCCGCTGACAAAATGGGTCAAGTATGATGTAAATGATCAAGTAGTTTCACCCTTGTCATCCTTTAGATTCAAAAACCCTTGACATCGTCTCACTGCATTTACCAATCGTGATGCCGTGGTGGTTGATGTCGGCCATCACTTTAGCCAAACGGCTTGCATCCAGTCTCTTCTCACCGCCGCTTGACCTCAAGTTCAAACTGCCTCTAGCAAAAGAAGACACGGTGACGGAAGCCGCAGCTTGCATGCATGCATGCATATACAGACTAGCATGCGGCAGCATTGTGCCTAGGAACATCCACGAGTATAGGTCTCAAAGCAAGTAAAAGCCTGCAGATAGGTCGCACTACCCCTGCAACTCGACGGCTTGGATCGTTCTGGATGTGGTGGAGATGCCGTTGCGCTTGGCTGAGGAGTTTGGATGCTTTACGGTAATGTATGGGCACGCACATCCACCTCTCGAGGATCGGTTGGTGCTCTGCAGCAGCCACTGACCCAAAGTATCAGCCAGTGGATGTGATGCAGGTGTGACAAGTAAAACACTGCCATCAACGACGAGTTGAGAACCAATTCAAGCTCTTCTATTAGTGGTGTTGACCAAAAAATAAAAAAAAATAAAAAATTAGTCCTACTGCTGCTGGGCTGTCAAAGTTCTG